CACCACCTCTACCAGACGGACGGAATCGTGCCTCAGCCTGCCAGCTGAGCCAGCTCAGCTTCGATACCAGATACAGCACCATCTCCCAGCGGCCGCAGATCAGTTACGTGCTCTCCTGCGCAAGCAAAAGGCCACCGTCTGGTGCGATCGGGCCCAGGCAGAGGACCCCCGCCTGCTCGCCCAGCGCCGCGCTGCCAAACAGCGAGCCCTGCTCGAAGTCCACGGCAGCTCCTCCACCCGCAGCAGCACCCTAATCAGCGGAGGCAAGATCCGGCACAGCGGCAACGGCCGTTCTATAAGCTACAACACCAGCACAATGGTTGGCGCCGGCGTGCCCTTGCGACTGAGCGCAAACGAGGTCGGAGGCGCAGACGACGAACTGGACGACCGCATAGACGCCAGCCAGCTTATACACCGCCGTACGGGGAGCAGCAGGAGCTCGACGGCCAGCAATCGCATATCTGCTGCTCACCAGCGGGCCGGCCAGACTCGTCTCAGCAGCAGCAGCAGCGCAAACAACACCCCTCCCAACGCAGACATACCAGACATCGTCGAGACGCCTGCTGCCACCCTGGAGAATATCAAGGACGAAGACTTCCTGAAGAAACCCAATCGATCGTCTGCTAATACTGCATCCGACCAGCAGCGTCCGGCTACCTCACACAGCGAGGAAGAGGACGAGTTCGGCAAGATTACAGAAATGGCTGCTCCCACGGGCATGTCAACGGCCATGCAGAAACGGAGGATCTCAGACGACCTGAAACGGCGAGGCAGCGTCGACGAGCGCACGTCCAGTATGACCGGCGTCAGGCTCTTCGTAGCCAATCCAGATCTAAGCGATTAATCGACCTCCTCTCTCTCCTCCGCCCTTTTTCTCCCCTTCTTTTTGATAGTTCTCAACATTCGGGTCTGGAGAACCTGGTGTTCATCCACCCCTTTTGTTCTCTTCTACGCCAATTACTTCTTCTTCTACTTCTACTTCTTCCTACTCTTTGTTTTATCCTCTTTCTCCAATGTTTGGCCCTTTACGATCTTCCTTTCTCCCGAGAATACAATTGCTTCTTACATGCATGGTGTCCCCCTTTGTCCTCAATATAAAATTACCCACTCACCGTCCCCGCTGAAAGTCTGCTGAATCTCAGGCATTATCACCAATTTTTTTTCTTAAAAAAAAAAAAAAAAAAACAAACAAACAAAAGGCTGTTTTTAATGCTTAATCCATGTCCATAGTACTTATTAGGCAATAATGCAATGAAAAGAAAAACACATATGCCTGGAGTTAATATCACTGTTACTACTACCAAATGTACAAGCAAAAAAGCAACGAGACCAAATAGCTAACCAGCTTGGTATGAATTTGACCAACTCAGAGCTTTGTCCGGGCAACAACCTTAACTTTAACAAGACCACCATTATGCACTTCATAATCCCTTCCAGCCTGCCATCCAAGCCAGTCCTTTAAGGTCTCCTCGCCCCCGGAGCCAGGATGAATGCCGCCCCCGCTCCATCCGCCGTCATCAGGCCTGATGTCTAGCCCCGGCGTATCTGATAGCCCAACAACAGGCCGCTGGTCGTACCCTGCCTCCTCGAGCTCGTCCATGGTAAGCACGGGTGTAGCACAAGCATCCGTCCCGTCAAATATAGCCTCCCATTCACTCCGGGTCCTTTCCCGGAACTTCCTCGCAAACACAGCTCGCATGTACGGCCAATTCTCCTTATCCTGCCTGTCCATACTGGAGCCAAGAGGAAACACCTCTTCCTCTCTCAGCCCCAGCCTATCCAGCAGCGCAGAATAGAACTGTGGCTCCAAGGCTCCTACGGCAAAATATCTCCCTTTATCCTTGGTCTCGTAAGTATCGTAGTACGGACACCCGCCGTCAAGAACATTACTGCCTCTGGGCCCATCCCACATTGGTGTCTGCCTCGCCAAGCGGGGAAATGTAGCCAGGTAGGCTGACCCATCTACCATATTGGCATTGACTACTTGGCCCCTTCCTGTGGCCTGACGAGCAAGCAGCGCAAGTAATATTCCCTGGAAACATACCGCTCCGCCGCCAGCAAAGTCTCCGAGAATGTTCCCCGGTGCGTACGGCTTCTGTCCTTCCCGTCCTAGGAGAGATAGAGCCCCGGAGACTGCTATGTAGTTTATATCGTGACCTGCCATGTCCTTGTACTTCCCATCGCGACGAAACCCTGTCATGCGTGCAATGATAAGGCGGGGGTTATGCTTCAGTAGTACAGTTGTAGGACATAGACCTAGCTTCTCCAGGACGCCAGGGCGGTAAGGGTCGATGAGGACATCGGCTTTTGATAGCAGGGAGAGCAGAACGGCCTTTGAAGCAGGGTTCTTGAGATCGAGGCTGATGGATCTTTTGTGCCGGGTTAGTGCGTCGAATGTAGGGGGTGGGACGGGCTTTGACTGAGAATGGGCATTGGGATGCGGTCGATCGATTCTAACAACAGATGCGCCATAATCGCTGAGCATGAGGCCAGCAAATGGGCCTGAGTATGTTAATTAGGGGGTAATTCAACTGTGTAGTTAAATGGCTTAACGATTGATAACAAACTGACCTGGGGCTAGACCGGCGAGCTCGACAACCCGTATACCCTGCAATGGGGGAGCAGAGCCTGTCATAGTGCAACCCAATTTCCAGGTAATAGTATCCCAGGCAGTTAAAGGAGCCTTTGCTGGGCTATAGTTGGAACAAACCTGGCTGTCTGTCCGCTCCTTGACTGCCTGGCTCTCGCGATCTGATAACCGCACACGAACCGGAGCTCGGGCCAACCTCCCACAGGAGCCGAGGTAAATGTCACGTGCATCCAGATGAAACCCAATGATTGATAAGATCTAGATCAAGATAAGGGAGATTAGGGAGATAACAATAACACCGAATATCATAACCAAAAAGTTTTGCATCAATAAAGGAAAAACACATTATTCATACACGCTATACAAGGCCCTGAAAGATCTGAATAGATAGACGAGCACCAAAGACAAAAGAATATCCAGGCTGATATTATCCAGTCGCAGGGTGTCCCTGGATCAGCTAGCCGGCTCTCCCAAAAGGGTATTCCAAATCTCTCCAATCTCAATGTCCTGCACTTTTCTAGCATATTTATATTTGTACCCCTGTTTATTCCCGTTTTCATTTTTCTTCGATATAATGTTGTCTCCAACTTCCTGCTTCCCCCACATAGTCATTAATACCCTACCCAATTTGTCGTTGTCCCTAGTTAGCTCGTCAACGCGGGATTTCCAAACGTCTTCTCTCTCGCGCATGATTTCAACAATCTTGCTGTCGATTTTCTTCGCAGCAGAAGTATTAGCCTTGATGATAGCTTCAAGTCTCTTCTGTGTCATATGGTGGTGTGCTATTTCGGCTTCCATACGCGTCATGTCTTTCTCAAGCCTCTCTTTGGCTGCCTGTTCTGCCTTGAGCTCTGCCGTAAGGACACTTTCCCGGTTCTTAGAGGCAGCCAAACGGGCCTGGAGTTCACTGCTAGGCCCTTGAGTGTTGTTTCGATATTTGGCTAGCTGCTCAGAGTGGGATGATTTGAGCTTCGCTATCTGTGACTTGTGTGACTCTTCGGCCTCCGCTCGAAGTTTCCGCAAAGCTTCGAGCGCTTGATCATGCTCCTGGGTAGTCTCAGTTGCCCTCTTTTTGAGCTTTGCATTATCACAGGTGAGGACAGCGATCCTCTCGAGTAGCTCGGTGTTCTCGTTCTTAACAGACTCAATTTTGGAAGACGTCTCGGTGAGCCGGTCACGATAGAGTTCGGCTTTTCGAGCTTCGAGACGTGCCGCGCCGTTGGCCTTCTTGAGTAGCTTCTGCAATTCCTTCTGTGCATCTTCAGATTCTTTCGAGCGCTGTTTCTGCTCTTCTAAAGACTTCTCACTTAGATTTTTCACATGTTCTCTCAAAAGAGCAACGATTTCAAAGAAAGGTTTTCCCAACGCAGGGAGGGCCAGCTCTCCTGCAAATTTCTGAATTTCCCTTAGTCTTGCCAAACTCTCTGCGGCTTCTTCGGCCTTTTGAGACTCTGTTGACTCCAACTGCGCCTTTAAGTTTTCAACAGCCTTCTCCAGATCCTCCGAAGTCTTCTGGATCGAGTCCCGTTCCCTGGTGACGGAAGTTAACTGATACTTCAGGCTGTACACTCCGCCGAGCTTCTTTTCACAGTCTTGTTTTGTTTGCTTCAATTCTGCACTTATCTCCTCGGAATGGCGCTTATGGGCTGAACGAGCCTCTTCCAGCTTCTTCTCCGCATCTCTCAGTTGCTTAGTTTTGTCTTTCAAGTTACCCCTAAGGGTAGACTCTTTTGAATTCAGGCTAGCAACGTCACTCCGCGCTTGTTCCAGCTCTGACTTGGTTTTTCGTAATTCATTAAGCTCCGCATCAGTTAGCTTATTCATTTCGTCACGCCTCTGCAGCTGCTGTTTCTGTTCATCTATCTCCTTGCGTAAAGAGGCCTCTTCCGTCAGCTTCGCTTCCATCTCTCGGATACGTCTCGTTTTAGCTTCGAGATCCAATTCGAGTTGACAGATCTGCTGAGCAGCACACAATGTCTGGTCTCCCTGCTGGCTATTTATCGTATCGTCCATCCTGGACAGGTCTACTGTGGGAGTGGCTGGAGCAGATTTTCGACCCGGAGTATAAATAACCGAGGTTTCCTTTACATCGCCTGCTTCGTTGATGTTTCCAGATGGACTAGTCTGACGCTTTGATATCGATGTGTTTTGTAAAGATTCGTTTATGTCTCTCCAGAGAAAGTGTGCAGGTGTGGAGGTTTCCATAGTGTGCTCGAGCTGGGTATAATCCGGTAATCCTGTAACCCTCGTTGGCCCCTCCGGATCATGCCTATCATTTTGTTCATCCACGGCTTCTTTTTTATCTTCCCCACTGGCATCTGCCTTGGCTTTGCTTCCTTCCCCTTTGACCTGCACCTGGGTTCGTTGCGTGTCCTCCAGGTCAGCGTTCTTTAGAAGGTCGACCATGTTTAGCGTAAAGTCCTCAGGACCCTCGATATCAGACGAAGGATTGTTGCCATCCTCCTGTATCTTGTGTTTCTTTTCACCATCCTCCTTTCCAATACTAACTAGCTCACCGGGAAGTTTGTTGAGGTCAAACGTGTATTCGCTCAGGTCAACTTCCGAGTCACTGTTGTTGTTGTTTGTCATTTTCTTCGGAGACTCTCTGACGGGGATCCGACTCTTTCGAGAAATGTAAGGGCTTGTATGATTAAGAGGGCTTTGAGGATTGGTGTTCGATATGCTCTTTCTCTTCGTTCTCAGGTGTGGAAGCGATTTTCGACGTGGAATTGCGGACCCTGACGGGCTAGCGAAGAGCCCAGATTGACCAGGGGTATCATGGGAGGTTGGACATGGTGACGAGAAGCGGTTTGCCATGGTTAGAGGCCTACCAAGTGTGCAATGCCGTCTGCTATGTCAGAGCAGTCCACCAGCCGCCTTTCATGCTGTTTTCTTTCTCAAAGTTTTGCCGCCGCACCGGTCGCAGTGTTTACATCTTTCTACTTGCGGTTAGTGTCATATTTTCATCACGTGATTAGTTACGCGCTCCAAGAAATATATTGGATTTTGAGTTGGAACTTTTTTGCTATCGCAAAAACTCCAGCTTTTTCTTCATTCTTGGAACACGCTGAAAGCCGCGTTATCCGAGTCAACGCCTGCCCAGGTACGCCTTGATTTTATGGGAAGTGAGCCTCGACTACCCCGCACGCGTGTTCGACTCCAATTCATCTAGGTTTTATGAAATCATAACCACTCCTGCCTGGCCAATGGCTGTATCAACTCAAACCTTGGTGATGACGTCAACTGCGCAGTAGCTCCAGGTGGAATGAATAGATATATACCCTATGTCGGTACTTGTACTGGCTACTGTTCAGCATTCAGTTGCCTAGCAACTGTTTTTTGAGTATCTATGTGCTGTTACTTCCTCTCTGTATCAAGATGCCGAGCGATTCTACCCCCAAATGCCACCAAAAGGTGTATCCAAATTTTAGCTTGAAGGACAAAGTATACATCGTTACCGGGGGCGGTAGAGGTTTGGGCCTTGTGATTGCAGAGGCAATGACAGAGGCGGGAGCCGATGGTTTGTCCTTCTGCCTCTCCATATGTTCCTAGTGTTAACAGCTTGGGATAGTTCATTGCTTTGATGTGTTGCCCGAGCCTGATTCAGAGTTCTACGTTTCCCAGGAAATCGCGAACAACGATCACATTGGCTCGCTACATTACCACCATGTTGATGTCCGTGATTTGAAACATCTTGAGGAAGCGGTCGATAGAGTTGCGGGCCTATCAGGGAGGATTGACGGCCTTGTTGCTGCTGCAGGAATCCAGCAGCTCAAGGATGCAGTTGACTTCACCCTAGAAGATGTCACTAGAATGTTGGACGTGAACTATACCGGACTCTTCATGACTGTTCAGGCAGTCGCTCGACATATGATTAAGTCAGGGACCCGAGGGTCGATAGTCCTAATCGCTAGTATGAGCGGCTTTGTAGCGAACAAGGGGCTTCATTCAGCCACATACAACTCTTCGAAGGCAGCGGTTGTCCAGCTTGGCCGCAATCTGGCAATGGAGTGGGGTCCGAAAGGTATTCGTGTGAATTCTCTCTGTCCAGGGCATATCATCACTCCTATGGTCGAGAAAAATTTCGAAGAAGTTCCGGAACTAAAGGAGATTTGGATAAAGGAAAGTATGCTAGGCCGCCTAGCTCGACCTGAAGAGTTTACCGGAGCGGTTGTTTTCATGTTGAGTGAAGCTAGCAGTTATATGACTGGCAGCTCGCTCATAATCGATGGCGGCCATACAGCCTGGTAAGCTGAGAATGGGTTGGTTTCGTTTCATCTGTTGGTATGTCGAGGTATCCATCAGCTATGTTTCAGTGATTTTTAGCATATGAACTGTATTAGCTTGTTAGCAGCTTAATTTTAATAGCAAACCTTCTGAACTGTGTCTGCGCTCACTCTATACGTAGACGTGTCGTACCATTAAAAATAATCACTTTAAACTATTGGCTTGCGTTGCTTAGTTCCTAAATGTATTCTATTGGTTCAATATTTATATTAAACTCTAATCTCCAGTTTAACCAATAAATATCGTTTTATTTTTACATTCGCAACGGCCAGTGGTGCAACTTCACTGGTTGGTGGAGAGGCTTTATCCAATTAGCGCGATGGCATTGAATAACTCTTTACTAATATGATCTCTTAACTAATTCACCGTGATGTCGTCACTTGGACGTCTATATAAACTCCAGATCATCTTCCGCTGGCCATTTTTCTTCCCTAATTTTTATCCCTTAGACTTAGACACGCTTTGCTTAAGTTCCATTCTCCAAGGCTAGCATTAGTTACTTTCCTTGTTCCTCTGGTTACTGCGTCACAAAATACCATGTCTATTGGAGACACGGGAACCGAAATGCTGACATGTCCGAACACTTCTCAACGTCAGCAGTTTCTTATGCTGGCGCTCTGCTTACTGCCGAAACAGGTGTGGAGACACCATCTCAGGCTTCAAGGAGGATAAAAAAGACAGAGGGCTCTTCGGAGGATAACAGTTTCGCGATTCAAGGCGATAACGGGTTTAAAAATGAAGATTACCGTTGTGGTGGTCCGGGTCTTGTAAGGCTCCCGACACTCAACGAAATTTTAAAACCCAATGAGCCCCTCCATATACTATACCACGAGGAGCTGGTAGGTTCACTAAGAGATATACTTGAAAAGTGGAATGTTGATTCCAGATTTATACATTTAGTAAGACGATATCATGCTAGAGACAGCCCTGAGTCGTCTATGGAATGTATTGTTGTTTCTGCTAAGAAACATAAACTTGATGACTCTTGGCTTAATGCTTGCCGAGAGATTCGTGACCTTTTTCTGGAACATGGCAGGGTAAGATTGCAAATCGAAATTTCTGACGAAAGGGCTCTCGAGCCGATTATCTCGCGATCAATTTCAAGCAACGACCCATTTGTGCACGTATGGCCAGTACTAAAGGGCCAGATATTAGACATCCTCGGCGACAGCGAATAGACGCTTCTTACAGTTCTCGCTAGGGGTCCAGCATCTGGTCCATTTGTACGTACGATACTAATTTGTAGACTCATTGCAAAACTGGAATGATGTTCGAGATAGCATTGTTCATCACTTGGATACCAATGACCTGACTCATATTGCTGTCGAAATAATCCGTGATTCTATATTTCATTGCTCCGTGCAAGAATCCGTTCTTGAAGAGCGAGATTAGGACATCAAAGCGAAACTTGGAGGGAGCCTCGGAATGCAAGGAAAATCCACTTCATCATTCACTTTTGGAGGGTTTCTTGAATTACAATTCCATCGCAACCACCAATGGAAAAGATTTGGGCTGACAAATTTCCATTTTATGACAAATGATCATTACCTTGATGATTGGAAAAGCCAGGGAATCATGCCTGGTGACTCTAGAAATCACCTTACTATTGACCACCCAAGTCGTGGTGATTATAACAAGTCTATAAAGCATTATGAGAAAGAGGCTTCAAGCATTCGAACCCAGGAATATTATGAGACCAAGAAGCGCATGGAAAACAAAGACCCGTCTCTTTCTAGGATAAAGGTAGCTAACTTCAAACATGACACCGACCTTATGAACGGGTATATCAGGATGGCCAGGCTTGCAAATGAATTTTACCTGGAAGGATGCCAGTACCTAGGAAAGGTTTACGCAGCCTCCGGATATAGGATAACCCCAAGTAACAGGCTACTGGACTGGGCCTTAAAAGAAGTGGAACGCGAGTGACTTTCTGACAATGGAATACCGCGGGTAGAGGACCTGCCCAGAAGCTGCCGAGAACGATATTATCCGGCAGATAACACGGTTATACAAGGTGCCACCAATCTAAATGCTGATATGCCTTTGTGTAAGATCGGTAGTCGAACAGGTTTCACAGAAGGCAGACTCGGTGCTCTGCATGTTACTGATCTACAAAGCTGGTCAAAAAACCCGGATGGAAGCTGGAACAAGGTCCGTGGTTCACTTCATGAGATTTTTCCTGTTGCTCCCCGAGGGACGTTTGGCGATCCTCCCGGGGATTCTGGTGATATCATGATGGACCGAAACGGCTCATTTGTCGGACTTTATGTTGGAGGATTCCTGGAAAGCGGAACTGGTTATTTTATGGAAGCGAAGGATTTATTCGAGGATATTAGAGCCATTACTGGTGCGACTGATGTCAAGGTCCCATAGGATGGCTCCAGCAAGATGGTACATTGCCAGGATAGAATCCCCTACTCTCAAATTCGAATGGCTATTTTTCAGATAGACTCGAGAAATTTCCAGCCTCTTCACCTTTTTCATCAGGAAAATACAATAAATGAGACGTACATTTCTATGGTCGGCGTGGTTGAGAATCCGTTTTGACCCACTCTGGTGGGGCGCGGCCGCAACTCTAAGCTTAATTTTGTAGTTGAGGCTGAAAACAGATATAGTACTTATTGCGAAGGATAAGGTAGATCAAATAATGAAAAGAAAAAAAGGAGTACTCCATACGAAGCAATCATTTACATCAGGGTCATGTCGATGTATGGAGATAGCAAGTCAAAACCAACTCATTCACACGTTACCATTCCCACCACCAGATTCATTCCGCGTCAGACAATATCCTCCGTTCGATGACATTAACTCGTAAAGCATAAAGGCACACGGTGCAGCTGTCAAATGTCTGAGAAGTTCATTGGTGGTCAGCGTAATAAACTAATACGCAGTGAATATTTTCGAGCACTTACGAGCTGCGCAGTAGTATGATCCCAGTTGGGTCAGTCGACCACAGCCAAATTGGAGACATCTAGACCCGCAATCCGAAAGGTATCCACCGCCGTGTAACCCGCTTGACGATAGCGAGGGTGGATAGAGTAACGTTTCGTAGTCACTGGAGTAGATCCGATTGGAGTCGAAGTTGGGCGTTGGGTAGGATTCACACCAAGATCTCAGGTAGTTTGACGCGCTGAATTCGGGGATGGGGAGGTACTCTGTGTCTGGATCGAGGTACGGCTTGGAGTCCTCAAACTCCTCCCACAGAAGCCGTTCGGGGAATCTGATCTTGATATCTGATGCATATGGCCACATATTGACTGGTAGAACAACAAAAGAGTTCCTTTGACTGATGGGAAGTATTGTATAAAGGTTAATGAGTTCCAGAGGTAAGAAGGGATTATTTTAGACTAGAAAGAAGAGCGAGGATCTCTTCGTCTTATATAGTTCATTTCGTATAAATTTCTACTTAGCGCCTTAACTTTGCGGCGCAGCGGTTAACTTGCACCGTGTTTACCCAAGACTCTATCCTGGGTGACATGGTGAAACAATATTTCAATGCACGGGATGCAGCGAAAGGCCTATCACAAGTGCGAGAACAGGGCAAGGGAGACCCGGGCATTTGGTTGGAGTCACAAACGATTTCCTGGATGCAGCCCAGTAGTAGGGTTGATTGGACACCGTTTGCCCAAATATTCTTCCCCCTTGTTCATTAGTTAGCGCTGGATGAGGTTCTATGAATAAGATCTGAGGCGAATTCCGCGCTCAGGACATTGTCGATATGCCAAAATGCTCATGCACATGGCACGGCTGTTGTATCGGTAGGCGCCGGAGACCTGTTTCGAGCATGAGATTATTGAACATGGACGTCATGCCATAGTTAGTTGGTGACAGGGCTGGCCTCTAATTTTATCGGGAGCCTGCAAACCGGGCGCATAGGTGACGTTGGTCTAAATATGGATGGCTGTCATCTGCTCAAAGGGCACAATGTATGAGAAATATTGACTCATTCTTGAATACTCGAAGGGTGATGGCTAGTTAGGCATCCATATCGACGAAAGCTGAGTTGGGACTCGGAGTGGTGATGGTGACGGCGTCCACTGCGAAATAACAACGGCGTAGCATCCGCATGACCGAGAGATTTGACGGCTTGAGTCTTCCTATGTGATCCGCTGTGGGATGGAATCTAGACCGTAGACGCCTCCTTTGCGGCACAGCCTGTCATGCGCTGTGCGTCTCGGCTTGATTTCGCTGCCTAGACCGACAATGGGCGGCGACAAGATGGCCAAGTTACTGAGTAACTAACTAGTCGCCGAGGCACGATGCGCTGGCCTTTTCCTCGAGAATGCGATGGACATGACGGCTGGAGTATCTCTGAGACAGTGACGTAACTATCAGACTGTTGATAGCTGGGAATTCGTCCGCAGTTGCCTGATCGTTAGTTAAGTCGCTGGGCGTTGAAGCGCCAGCTCGGGGGGCAACCACCATCCAACCACATAGCTAACTAAACAGCCACTGTTGTTGACTAGTTGGTTAACGCAACTCCACCCTTGCTGGCAGCGAGTTTTGACGGCCCAAAGACCGCAGCAACAGACAGAACACAGCAGGCAGACCACCCGATCAGCGACAAGAGGCACCGAGAAGAGTTAGCATTATACCCAGATGCCGCCGATTCCACAAGCCCTGGGACGACGCGAGTGATATCCTATGTCCAGACGTACTTCCCGGATAATGGATCCTACGTCTCGCTGCTCCCGCTGTACACAAGCTCCAGCGGCATAACGCACATCATCCTGGCTGCATTCCACATCAACGAGGATGCAGAGAGCATCACTCTGAACGACGACTCTCCGGACCATACTCGCTACGGGCCCCTCTGGGAAGAGGTGCGGGTGCTCCAGGGCGCGGGAATCAAGGTGATGGGGATGCTCGGGGGAGCTGCAAGGGGGAGCTTCAGGCGGCTGGACGGAGATTCATTCATAGAATACTACGCTCCTCTCCGCGAGCTGATCAGAATGCGCCAGCTCGATGGCCTTGACCTGGACGTGGAGGAAGAGATGTCTCTCGAGGGGATCATCCGGCTCATCGACGCCCTCAAGTCAGACTTCGGCAACAGCTTTATAATTACCCTGGCGCCCGTTGCGTCGGCCATGGTACGGGGTCTACAGCATCTCTCTGGCTTCAACTACTTTCACCTGGAGGAGCAGAGAGGCTCCAAGATATCCTGGTACAACACTCAGTTTTACAACGGCTGGGGCGGGATTCAAGACGTAACCGCCTACGAAACTATCATGTCGAACGGGTGGCCGAGCGAGAAGATCGTTGCCGGAGTCTTGACCAACCCTCGGAACGGCACTCAGGGCTACGTTCCCGTGGAGCTTCTGAATCTTGTTTTTGCGACGTTGTGTCAGAGGCATCCATCGTTCGGTGGCGTCTCCGGGTGGGAGTACTTCAACGCCCTTCCCGGAGGGGAGGAGAAGCCCTGGCAATGGGCAGCTATCATGTCCTTTATCTTTGGAATGAAATATCTTTATGACACTGCCGTCGTTGGAGCTTTCTTGATGGCAGTGAATAATGGCCCGCATAGAAATTGATGACCATTCTAGACCCGACGACCCCGAAGACCTGTGTAGATTTGCGCTCACAAACGATGGAAGGAGAGAAGGAAAAGGGGGAGATGTTAAAAAAAAAAAAAAAAAAAGGAGAACTGTCTTAACGTACGATCCTCAGTGGAGTAGGAGTGCATATAAAAATTATGTTCAGCCTGAAACTGTGCTGTCTCTGTTTACGCCCTGACGTAATAGTTAACCAGCTTTTTGCCTGCTGCCTGCGACATCGCATATAACTTTTTCATGAAGCAAGAACCATTCATGACACAAGGACTCGACTGTTTGCCATTGAACACGCCCTGACAGCTCCGTCGAGCCGATAACTAGTCGCTGGTCGATGAGTTTGCAGACATGCGACGGTATCAGGAAGTGCTTGCAACCGTCTGCTCGACGCTCATCCGGTTCCTGGGTTACATCTTCCTACGCTGGGTATCTCGCCCTTTTCCCACCACCTCGATCGAGGGGGCCATCCATAGCTGACATTGAGCTCTAGATTCCCGCTCATCATGCGCCTCCGATCACTGCGTCGGCCCTGTGTATATATCTAAGCTTGATATGGGCGACATCCCCGAGCTCGACCCGCGACCGGGAGGACCAGCGTACAACCGCATCCACGACCAAAGAGTCGGCCAAAGATACTCACAGCCCTGGAAATGACAGACAGGTGTCCGTGTTACGGTCCCTGCTGACCGGCCTGCCATGTACCAGCTCGAAGCTGGTGACCTGGGTTACCGTGGGCGCCAATGTACTGCTCAACCTCTTCATACTCGATTTCGTCTTCCGTGGATCACTTCTCTATCCTACGAAGGACCTCTCGTTCGCTCGGGTTGGATACGTCTCAAAAGATAGCGCTAAGATTCTCATCCGAGAGCCCGACCCAGAAAACTTGCCATTGACGGTGTATCACCGGCTCAAACTCGACGCTCCAACGGATTCTTGGACGCTGACCGAAACGATAGACACCCTAAATGATACAACGGACTACACGTTCCCGGTAGTAATAGACGGCCTTGAACCTGAAACGGTGTATGAGTACCTGCTATCCAACAACATATCCGGAGAGTTCACCACCGCCCCAGGATCAACCTCTCTAGGGTCAATGCACCTCAACTTCTGGACGACAAGCTGTATCAAGGCGAATTTTCCGTACAATCCATTCTCCCACCCATTCAGGATTTACGGAATTGAAATGCTTTCCCAAGTGTACTCTAAACTGGATGATCTGGCCATACCTTCGTTTATGCTTTTCCTGGGAGACTTCATCTACATCGATGTTCCTCTCCAGTTCGGCTCTGCCATCAAGCATTACAGAGACGAATACCAAAAAGTCTACGCATCTCCAAGCTGGCACACGGGTAAGAATCCAGCTATAAACCTTCCCTGGATCCACATGCTTGATGACCACGAGATCCAGAATGACTGGCACGATGGCAATGTCACTGAGCCATACCCTGCTGCCATTGACCCTTACCATCACTACCATGTGAGCGTTAACCCTCCAAAGGCGAAGTCCCCTCACGCATCTCAGGAGAACACGACATACTTCTCCTTCACTCGGGGCCCTGCGTCATTCTTCATCCTGGACTCAAGGACATACCGTTCCCCTCCTGGATTGGACAATTCAACGATGCTCGGATACGCGCAGCTCCAATCCCTACTAGATTACATCTCCTGTCCTGAACCCGCACCGGTGAAATGGAAGATAATCAGTAGCAGCGTGCCATTTACCAAGAACTGGCACATAGGGACATCCGATACTTGGGGTGGTTACTTGAAGGAACGTCAAATTCTCCTGGAGGCCATGTGGCGGGCTGAACGTACCCTCGGCACTAGAATCGTCCTTCTCAGTGGTGACAGACACGAATTTGCTGCCACGAAATTCCCCAACCCTGCTACGAAGCAGATTGACTCCACATCTTCATCACTTTCCAAAGGTGAAGGTCAGGGTATCTATGAATTCTGCGCCGGCCCATTGAACCAGTTCTACCTTCCCAGCAGTTCCTATTATCAGACTGATGACGAAGATGTAACCATTAAATATATTCCAAACGGCAACTTCAAGTTTGGCGCTGTGGGTATTGAGATTCATCCAGATGGAGGGTCTGACCTAACATATACATTATACGTGAACTCTGAGGCTGTATGGCAATACAAGCTCTCAATGCCTTCAGATATAAAAGCAGGGGAAGCGGAATTCCCTGACGGCGAGGAGGTGTTTGACTTGGTTAGCCGTCCAAAGGGAAAACTGGACATGGGAGTTCTTATGTTCTGGAGAGGATTATACTGGCTAAATTCACAGGTCAGCACCCTTGTAGAAGGGGTGAACGGGTTAATTCTGAAAAAGGAAAGGCTAGACGAGTAAAACTGCATGACATGGCTTTTAAGATACTTGTATCAACTGTTTATGTTTTCATCTCATTCGTGCTACGCTCTCTGGCTTCGAGCTATTTATCAACCTCGGCCATTAAAACGAAAGTAAAGGAGGATATTGAACAAAAACGTGATTGTTCAGAGGCAATTTTGAGGCTGTCCTGTACTCCAAAACGCCATTTTCTATGGTACCTTTCCCTTCAGCCATAAAATGCAGTGAAATAATCATCAATATATAATGGTTCAAAAAAGAGGGGGATCATCGGCCTCGTCTGCTGCTGCCTCCGCGGCCAGCGCCCATTCCGCCCATTCCGCCCATAAGGCCACTCATCTGGCTCATCATGCTCTGTAAATCCATACCCCCAAGACCAGGCATTCCTCCACCGCCTGCACCACCTCCTTGGAGCATCTGCATCATTTGCTGCATGTCTCCCATTCCAGGCATATTAGGCATTCCAGCACCGCCCATGGCAGCCATCCTCTTCTGCATAGCTGCCATCTGCTGTTCCTTGTTGCCGCCCTTCAGCATATTCTGGGCACGTTGCATCTGCTTCTTCTGTCCTCCAACCTTCTTAGCCATGCCAGCCATCATCTTATGTTGAGAAAGAAGGTCCTCAACTTCTCTGACTGTTGTTCCGCTTCCACAGGCAAGGCGGACAACCCGGGTAGGTTGGTCGATGAAGACCTTGCCGTCTCCGTCTAGTTCTGAGGCCGTCATGCTGTCGAAGATATAGATCATGCGCCGGAGCTTAAGCGAGCCGTCTTCATCATCAAGACCAGATGTTATATTTGATAGACCAGGTATCATACTGGAAATCTTTGATAGGGGCCCCATTTTCATAATTGATGTGATGTTCTCTCGGAAATCCCGTAGAGTGAAGATTCCCTCCGAGATGTGCTTATATGTCTCCTTTGCGCCAGCCGAGTCCTTCGTTACTGCTTGAACATGCTCTACTAAACTTGCCATATCACCCATTCCAAGTAGTTTTTGGACAAAAGGCCGTGGTGCAAATCGTTCCAGGTCGAGCATATGTTCACCGGTTCCCAAAAATATAATAGGGGTCCGGGTTGCAGCGACAGCGGAAATGGCACCACCGCCTGCAGCGTGCCCGTCTGTCTTTGTGATGATGATTGCTCCAAAGTCTGCTGCTGACTTGAAGGCTGCTGACTGCGTCTCTGCGGCCTGACCAATTGTGCTATCGAGTACCATGATGGTCTGGTCTGGTTTTATAGCAGATTGAATCTGGGTCATTTCTGCAAACAAGTCTTCCTCCTGCCGATGTCTTCCACTGGTATCAACTATGATGATATCAAACCGCTCTTTCTTGAACTTCGCCACACCCTCTGATGACACCACAACAGGATCTGTCTGTGTCAAGCTACCGTAATACGGAATCTTCGCCTTCGTAGCATTTTGCTTGAGCTGGTCAAAGGCACCAGCTCGGAATGTATCCGCACAAACAAGAGCTGCCTTGAACCCCTTAGTCTGGTAGTGCCTCGCTAGCTTTGTACATGTGGTTGTCTTTCCAGCACCCTGCAGACCAACCATCATAATGACATTCGATTTACCCTTTTTTGGCTTGAAAGGCTCAGCATGTGGATCGACAAGCGCAACCAGTTGATCGAAAACGGCCTTCTGAATCAGACGTTTCTTGTTGACCGCTGGGGGTATGGAGGGGAGCTGAACGGCAGCTTTTATAGATTTGCGCAGCTGCTGAACTAACCGAACGTTTACGTCGGCAGACAGAAGCGCTGCGCATATTTCTTTTATCATCGCATCTAGCGCCTAGAAAGGGGGTCAGTATGAATAAGTAAAGGGAACGGTGGCCGCTGTGTCTGGAAGCTACCTTTTCATCAACTGCATTTGACCTGGTCAAATCGCTGACGGCGGCGTTTATACGTCGCCCTAAGTCTTGGAGAACCATCTCTTATGTGATATTCGGTTAACAGCCTCTAATAGTAAACGGACGAGCTTCTTATCCTCGTCTTGCGTCCTCTCGATGTGTGTGTTCAAACACAAAAAGGCGATAAGGCATGGGGCTGTTCACGTGACCGTGACTTTTTAATCTTTTAGTTATCAGTTAAAAAAAATGTTGAAAGTTGAAGATATCAAAAAGAAAAAAAGGCGAGAAGAAACACAGCGCAGAACAAGATGGCGCCGCCCTCGATAAAAAAGAGAAAGGTGGACGAGGGGATGAGGGGAAAGACGTCACGGCCGAAGAAGAAGTTTAGAAAGCAGGAATACTACAGCAGCAGTTCTGAGGACGAAGAAAACGCAGGAGCTCCAACCGACTTTGCAGCAGTGAACCTCAATGATTCAGACAGCGACGCCGAGAAGTCCATACAAAGCGATGTTTCATTAGAAAACGATGAACCAGATCTACAAGCAGAAGATCAAGAGGAATTGGCTACAACGGGAGAGTCAGATGGTGATGATGATGACGAGGACTCAGATGCATCTTCAGTCACTTCGTCTCAGGCTGGATCAACAAACACAACAAGCCGAAAACATATCTCCAAACGAAATGATCCGACTGCCTTTTCCACCTCCATATCGAAGATTCTGTCTACAAAGCTTCCCACGTCTGCTCGGGCGGACCCATTGCTGTCACGAAGTAAAGCTGCAGCTCAAACAAGTGCAGATATAGCAAACGAACGGCTTGAGCACCGCGCGAAGGCAAAGCTACGAGCAGAAAAGAAGGAAGAACTAGACCGGGGCCGTGTGAGGGACGTTCTGGGGGTGGATAGGGGTGAAGCTGGAGAGACAGCAGAATTTGAGAAGAAGCTGCGCAAAGTAGCACAGAGGGGTGTTGTCAAACTGTTCAATGCTGTCAGAGCAGCACAGGTACGGGGCGAAGAAGTTGCCAGGGAAGAAAGGAGGAAGCGCCTCACAGTTGGAATGGATGAGCGAGAGAAGGCTGTCAACGAGGTCAGCAAACAAGGCTTTTTGGACCTGATAAACGGCATTGGCTCGAAACCTATTGAAGAAGCTTGATTGTTATGTTAATTGATATCCGAAGAGGTAAAAAAAGCGTGAGCTGATATAGGAGTTTTGGGTTATGTGGGTGTTTCTGACATGATATACACGGGTCATCCTCTCCAAACCGGGGAGTACTTTTTGCAGGTCTATAAGGCTATTGTACAAATTACTAAACATTTAACCGCACGCATCATATGAACTGACTGTGCGATTATATCCAGAGGAAATATCGAATAGCGGCAGTTAAGCCGGTGGTCTCGAGTCAGGCAAGGTCTACAGCTCATGCCTCGAGATCTGGGTATGACCAATCCGCTCAAGGGAATAAATATCATCATTTCTTCTCCGCAAAGTCGCTAGCCTGCAAATTTCTAGTCATGCTGGGCAGCGTAACCACAAGGCCGTCTAGTTCCGGAGTCATCTTCACCTGGCATCCCAACCGAGAGGTCTCGGTCAAGCCAAATGCTAGGTCCAGCATGTCATTCTCGTCGTCATCAGGCTCCGGCATCTTATCGTACATATCTGGGCTCTCCACGATTACATGACATGTAGAGCAGGCGCATGAGCCTCCGCAGGCACCTTGCAAGACCGTTAGCAACTGGCCCGACGGCATGTATAATTGAACCAATTGACAAACCTTCCATCTCAAGATCGTTTGCCTGTGCTATATCAAGCAGGTTATCTCCCTCTGCGACTTCGAAATCGTGTCGTTCACCGTCTTTATCGATGAAAGTAATCTTGATCCTGTTTGATATATATTAGCAAAATTCCAACCACTTCTCTAGTTCCATTGAAGTCAGAGTCAAGACTCACTCTTCACCTGGCTTTGGTTTCGTAATATGTCCATGTAGCAGCTTCGAAGTCGAGGAGAAAGACCGGCTCAGTATGGATGAGCCGTGAGTAAGTTGCTGATATCTCGAAGTCCGTAGGACTGACCGGAAAAGTTGATGTGATCCCCCGGGCACATTAGACAGCAGCCTGCTCTGCCTTAATATACTCTTCAAGGGCGCATACTGTCCCGTCGAGAGTCTCTGGCCGGTACTCTGTGTTAGCGGTTGTAAGCCATGGCGGCATAGTCCTCTGGCTGCGGCCATCTCTGCGTCTCCTTTCTGTCGCGCACTCGCACCGGTCTAGGGAAGAAGAAAGGAATGGACAGCGAAGCCGTCTTAGGCGCCGAAGACTGACGATGCGCTGGTAGTGAAGTAGATATTCTGGCTGGTCAAGCTGAGTCCTGTAAGCATTCTGGCTTTACAAATATTTTAACGGAGTTTCTTTTTTTAGTACGGCCGTCGGAATTATTAAGAACTTGCGATGATTTCTATCTCCGAGACCAACAAGCAAGCAAGGGGAAAACACATCTAGAAGCGCAAACAGCAAACAGCAAACAGCAGACACAGGAAGGAAGTGAATCTTACGACGGTTACGACTTTGAACGACCGAGACTCTGGCGCTGGCCACGGATAGGCAATGAATTCGACACCAGAAGGCCCCAACCCGCTGAGGCCTTACTACGTGCCGTCTCCCATAGGGCTGTCCGATAGCCATGCCGCATCCAAGGTCGTTTCGAGCGCGGCAGCAGAGAATATAGCGAGCTTTGGGACGTCCGCGCGGGATATACTGTCTGATTTTGACTATTCGGACTACCTGGGAGACTCCTCGCCGTCGGTGGCAGAGTCCATCAAACAGCTATTGGAGAATGCAGCAAGGCGATACTCGCGGGTTTTGATGTCACAGCCATTCGAGGTCGCAAAGACGATACTACAGGTTTATGTTGCCGAAGATGCTGCCGCCGAAGTGGCAGAGGAGAGGAGAAAGCTGGAAAGGCGCCGAATGGAGCAAGACGAAGCAGAGGTGAGAATCGACCTAGATACGTGAACTATTTCTCGAGCATTGCTAACTCTCTGGATTATATAGAATGTATTCGGTTCGGACGATGAGAATAGCTACTTTACTTCTGCTGCGCCTAATGCGTCTACATATGCACCGTCTTCTAGGGGTCACCAAAAAGCTCCTCAGCGTGTAACTGACCGGGCTGGGTACATACCACAGAGTGCTCAGCCAAAGTATATGCTGAAGATAAGGGATTCGTCATCTATGCTTGATGTGCTATCTCAACTCTGGACCACTAGCGGACCAACATCAATATGGAAAGCTTCAAACACTACGTTTATATATTCGATACTCTTGCCTACTCTAAACACCTTTGTCCGGAGTCTTCTGTCTGCTATTCTAGGCTACCCAGAAGATTCCTTTTCCTCCTTTCCGGCCAGTGATATCCTAACATCAACCTCACCAGGCACAGATTTGATACTCTCTTGCCTCTCATCTGCTCTTTCAGCAATAATCCTATCGCCAATTGATACCGCGCGAACCTATTTAATTCTTACACCACACGGCCGCGGATCCCGTTCTCTCCTCCATTCAATCAGGCTTCTTCCATCTCCCAGCTACATGATTTCACCCCATCTTCTACCTATTACCATCCTTACATCGACATTACCGAATCTAATTTCTACCAGCGCCCCTCTTTTCCTAAAATCATATTTGTCCCTTGACCCGACGCTTAACCCTTCTACATGGAGTCTTTTCAGCCTTATGGCCCAAGGCCTTGAGTTAACTGTGCGAGTACCCCTGGAAACTGTTCTCAGACGGGCACAGATAGCGACCTTCACCTCTCCTGCTCTTCGCCGGCCGGGCGTAACATACTCAGCCCCAAGCATACCATCACCTACCTCCAGTGGCCCGCCTACAACATTGGAAGAAGCATCGTCAAATTCAAATACTCCCTTGCCTACCATTGTTCCATCTCCCCAAAGCTATAGAGGAATTATTGGCACGATGTGGAATATTATTTATGAAGAAGGCACAAACCCAACACCCACGGACCTACACACGGTAGAACAGGTTCTCGGCCGTTCTCCCCAGGTAGGCAGACAGGGAAACCGGCAAATCCAAAAACTTCGCAAAGGACAAGGCATTCAAGGCCTTTACAGAAGCTGGAGACTTGAGATGTGGGGTATAGTTGGGCTCTGGGGATCTAGCTTCCTTGGAACTCTTTTGAGCGGTGAAGAGGTCGATATTGCGCCTGATTCTATGGGCAAAATGTCTCTTGGATCCACTGGAGGCCATGTAGGGACCGAGAAGGGTGCCTTCTAAACTGCTTTAATCATCTTTAAAACTTTCAGTCTGGAGTCCACTCCATCTCACTTTCACTCGGCTTGAATAATATCCCTGATTTCGTTCAACTTCTTTGTTATTATATACTCTCCCACAAATTTCCATTAGACCAACCATCCCCTCTTTAATGTACTATACCCTATGGGCGGTCGACCATGGATACGTGAATTCGTGATATAAAAATGATAAGTGTAGAATAGTCGATCAAATCAGATTTTTTGCCGCGTAGCCGATCATGACTAAGGGAAACATGCACCACCTCTATACAAGTCCATCATTTCATCCATGTCAAGAAGCGAAATCCCTACTGGAGAGGGTTTCTAAGCGTATCCCAAGGATGCGTGAAAAAGGTAAGGTGAGACTGGGTGCTATTAATACAAACGGAAGACGAAAATCCAAACAAAAGCGTTAACTGAGAACGGGGGAATTTAATCAACCCAGAAATAGAAAGAAATTGACTCCGTGGCGCCTTTCCCTATTGAAACTCACGACATTAGCCTGGTCATACTATATGTATGCTCCAGGAGAATTGGAGTAGGGATATATACCTAATACCTCTAGGAATAGATGCTCATCTAGAACATGGTAGTAGGTAAAAGGAAAAATGAACCTGTTTTCAGCAGAAAGAGATAATCAAACAACGAAATCGTACGGGAGTTTCAGAGGACAAAAAAAGAAAAGGTAAAACCGTAGCTTTTACTTAGAATCAGCAAATCTTCGGTCAAAATATCGCAAGACGCCCATAACACTTGCGGCTTCAACTTCCAAAGCAGGTCGGTTGGTGAGGTTTTGGTCACGTCGCCGGTCAGGATTGAGGTTCTGTGGATTAGGAAGTGTATGTAGCTGGGGTATCCAATTGCTCAATTCATTTGATGCAGAGGCGAATTTTGGATGTAGAGATAGGGTAGTAAATGTATCAGCACAGCTGAGCGTAATTGGAGGTGATGATGCAGCCTGCCTGGACGAGTCTGAGCCAGATGATCGGTTTTTGCAGCATCCACCCTTTCCGCCGCCACCTCCACAGCACCCATCTTCCTGACGAGCAGACGCACGAGAGGCAGCAAGGCTCTTACAGAAAACTGAGCTTCGGGGATCTGCAAGACATTGAGCGCAAGTTCCTGGTCCATTGGCGCAGGGATTGCTCTTATTGCTCGACACTAACGTAGCTGACTTTGAGAGAACATCCCCTTCGGAGGGAGGCGGGGTGAATTGTGATATATTCTGAATAGATGGGAGCTTAGTCAACTGTGAAGGTTGATTGCCTCTGTCACTTGGCTGATCCTCTGCCATTTCAGCACAGATGCATGGCGAGCCATCCTGGCAAAAGCCACATGGATCTAACAATATGGGTGTGGCAGCATCATTCCCTGTTCGTGAATGCCTTCTGAGGGAGAAAGAATGGGTGAAATCGGTCTCTAGGTCTTCAGGCTCTGTCTTGATTTCGGGATTAGATCGGTGACGCTTTTGAGTAGCTCCTTGCGATGGCGACCTGCCCCGTTTGGAATGAGGGTCATCTGTCTGCATCTGCGTGATGTTGGCAATGTTGAAAGCATCATCAATACACTGACATCGCGTAGAGGAACACCTCTCGCACCCACCGATGACAGAATGGCCATTGTTTGTCGTTCTTCCGGAATCGTTGATCCTCTCAAGTTGCTTAATGGCGTCTTCCTTGGCAACTTTTTCGGTCATGAGCTCATCCTCCACAGCTTTGCATCGATTCTTCCACCATAGTAACTGGCTCTTGTATTCCTCTATCTGCTGTTGCTGTTGCTGGATGGTCCTCTTCAGAGCAGCTTCCTCACGCTCATTCTCTTCCTCAATTTTCTTGATCTGCTCTTCTAGTTCTCCCACTCTCGCAGCTCTTCGTTCTCGAAAGGCCCTCTGTGCTGCTCGGTTTTGAGCTTTACGCTTGGTAGGAGGTGTGTCTGTGGCCGGCTTACGACCTGGTTTTGGACGCGGAGGAACGATCCATTCCTTGGAGGTAATCGAGCATTGAGTGACTGGTGCTGGCGATGGGGCAGCAGCTAGAGGCTTCACTGAAAGCGATCGTTGATGTGGAGTGCTTGCAGGAGCGATTGAGAGTGGCGTATGGGCCGACGTAGGCGTTCCAGCAGAAGTCGACATTGTCATACTCCGTCTCTCATCTGGCCCGAAGCCGGCCTATCGGGGTGAATCGGCTTGAACTTGTATTCAGCCAAAAGGGAAGATATAGTGCGGGAGCCGGAGGGAGTTCGTATCCTCTATCAATTGGCCTCTGTGATAGCTACGATGTGCGGTTGTGGGAGCCAGAAGCCGTGAAACTGGTAGCAAGGATGGGTTGTCGTTGCTGGTTTTTTTCAACAAACCCGCGGGGACACTCGGATGATCTGATTAGATTATCGTGCGATGAACATGTGACTAGCCGGGATCACGTGTATTAGGTTATCAGATCGCCAAGACTTTGTATCTTCTCATTCCAACGTCAATTAAAGGAAAGAAAAAAAAAAAAAAAGAAACATGGATTGCTGAATAGAAAAAGAAAGCAAACTTTTGCGGTCAATAATAACTAATATGCAACTAGTTTGCTGCATGCTTGACCGAGCTCTGATAAGCCGGATTGAAGTTATCTGGCCCGGCTATTTTCTCTGGACTATTTATGGCCGGAAATTACAACTGGTCAGGTCCTCCGCACGCCCTTCCAGCAGAGCATCAGTGGAAGCTACCTACGTATAACTATCAAAATGATCATCTCGGTAACAGAGCCGGGGGTCCGGCATTTTCACGGGTAGATCATGGGTCAGCCATGGCTTGCTGTTGTTGCCGAATGTATGGATTGGATAATCTATAAAATTGGAGGAGTGACTCACAGTTGAATACGATCACAGATATATATAACCGTTATTTCTTCTCTATACTTCCATATAGCCCAATCTTAACATTATAAGGAAGTATGGCTTCTCCAAGTGTGCTGGTTTCAAGCCCCAAGGTTGCGGCCCTCCTCAAGAGGCTCCGCGGAGAGTCTGGAGCCCAGGAATCATCGTTCTCCGTCGTGTCATTTTGGCTTCGAAAGAAGATAATGACTATGATTCTTGGGAGCCGTAGATGGAACTCCGCCGATGACGACTTCATGAGAGACAAATATATCTGTCTAGAGGCCGACAAAAGTGAACTTGTCTATCTCCTAGCGAGATCTACTGGTGCTCTGAACATCGTGGAAGCAGGTACAAGCTTCGGCGTCTCGACAATCTACCTTGCTCTCGCAGCTGGACAGAACGCCGCAGCCAAAGCATCTAAGTCCATAACACCAGGTCAAGGCGCGCAAGTCTTTGCAACGGAAAATGAACCCACTAAGGCGAAGAAGGCGAAGGAGCATTGGAAGGAGGCTGGGGAAGAGGTGGAGCCCTGGATTACCTTGCTGGAAGGCGATCTTCGTGAAACACTACCGGATCAAATGAAGAAGGTCGATCAAATTGACATGTTACTGTTGGACAGTATGTTGACCCCCATTCTTCGCTCACCCTTCCACCACGATTTGCTAAGTCAATAAAATATAGTCTGGACTCCAATGGCTCTCCCGGCACTCAAAGCAGTTCAACCAAAGCTCCGTACGGGTGCACTTATCATTGCAGACAACACTGTCATGGCTCGCAGTGACTACAAGGACCTATTTGATTATATGGACGATCCTAAGAACGGCTTCAAGCACATGACGACCCCGTTCAAGGGTGGCTTGGAAGTCATTGTCTACCTCCCTTAAGGCCTTCGGCATAGCTAACATGGCCAGTGCCACCTATTCTGAGTGAATCACATATCTACTAGCACGATAGCAGATTTTAGCGCTCATTCACTATTTTACATCTGTTACTTCATTATACCTCTCAGTTACTTGTCTCTATAATATCAAGTTTCATCCATCGCGAATTGCAATTCTCGAGTTAATCTTTTGCAGCAAGCTCCACACATTGGTAAAGAATCTTCCAGTCATAAGAGATAGAATATAGTACAGGTCTAATAGGCAACATGCTACTCCAAAATGTCGAAAGGATAATAAAAGTTGTACAGGTTGTGCAGTGATATACATAGCAGAATCGTAGGTGAGACTGACAGGCAACTCCCCAATGCGCGGCTACGGGGAGATCGGGTATACTGGTGTTCAAAGATGCAAAGTAGGTAAAACACCATTATCGTTTGCGGGATCTCTGATCGCCTCCTCCGGCCAGTATACGCTTGGTTCGGAGATAGTTGCGCACGATATTTTCCACACTTCCTATATCGTGAGAGGGTTTTCTATAAACAGAAAAATTAGCAATGAACACCAGCAGAGGTAAAAAAAAAAATTATCCCCATATGTTCTTTGCGATTATTATGACGAAAAGCAGCGAGTAGTCATACCTCATATATGTCAATTTCGCACGTCTCTTTCTCTTCTCCGTGCGCTGGACAACCTCCACACCAACCACGTTAGGGCTATATGCCTTAACCCACATCTCACAGCTGATTCTCGTCAATTTGTTTCGCAGCAAAAATGCGGTATCGACTCCTCTCTGGCGAATATTCAGGCATACACCGGCGAAGGGATCGCCATTCTTAAACGTAACACGCAGAATGTCACCAACTTTGGCGCCCTGGCGATTTTTCGGATCGAAGAGCGCTTTTCTCTCGCCAGTAGGGTCAAGTACAGACAACTGCTCAGCCGTAAAGGCGGCAATAGGGTCTTTGCATGTGTCGTATGGGAAAGCTGGAGGAGGGTGGACCTTGAGCTCCTTGGTGCCTGTACATCACAAGCCATGTCAGTGACCAGCAACTCCAGTAAGCCGTAGTATGTCGAGAATATATGGCTAGATCATACCTTTCCCAGGCCGGCAGAACTTGGGAATCTGTGATATGAATTGTTCCGGAATAGTGGTAGGGAACGCGATCTTCTCTTTCCGGGGGGAGTGGACGGTATGGAGGAATTGACGGCGAGGCACCTGCTGCCTCAGCTCCTTGATTGCATTGGCACAGCAACCAATCGGTCGCAGCGCCGACTTCACAGAGGCCATCGTGGTGAGAGTCTTCGTCCTTGCGTGAGTTGTGCTGGTCTTCTTCTCTTCTTCCTGTCGCTCAAGTCTGAATAGAAAATTGAAAACCATCAAAAAGGTGGTCCGTGCCAAGCCAAGACATGAACTTTTTTTCTATCTTCGACTCTTTGGACGAAGCAAGAGAGCAAAAAACACACGATCAACTACAGAACACCGAGTCGAGCATTTACCTTGCGTTTTATACCCGTCAGTTTGAAATTATCACTCTATCAAATCGTCTGGTTTTGTCAGATTAAGCCAATGGCGCACCCACGGCTGGGGAGGGCTTTCGTGCGCGGGTGCATCTCCCAGAGTACATCCCTAGGTCAATACAGAGCCTTCTCAAGCTCTGCCAGCCTTTGCAAAGGTATGCTCTAATATCGCCTAGTGATAATGCAATGCCTCTGCTAATGGTATATTTGTGCAGCTCTTGTTCCAAAATTTGCTCCTACCTCATCCCCCGAGCTCGATGGCTTGCTCCAAAAATTTCGAGATAAGCTCTTTATTCCGGCATGGCTCCCATACGAAGACAAACGAGCCATGTATAAGAAGTCGAAATCACAGGAACTACTCAGCCACCCCGTAGTAGTCAATGTTGGCACCGAAGATGCAGTCGATAACTACACACTGCGACCCATGCACATCGCAGACGCTCCGAGTAACAGCGAGGTCGCCAGAGTCATTAGACTGTTAAAAACAGAGGAAGATTGGAAGAGTCTCATTCCATTCCTCAGTGGACTCCATGCATCGAAACGGGACCTCACCCCACATACCACTGAGATGCTTATACGGAGAGCTGGTGATCTTGGGATGGAAGCACACGTTTTGCAAGCCGTAGCGCAAGCACGTCGAACAGGTCTGCTCATGCGCAATGCTGATTTCACTCGAACGCTTCTATTTGCTATACGACTAAAGGCAGAAAAGGCAGGATTTAAGGGACCTGATGTTCATCTTGCTCTTGGACAGGCAAAGGAACTAGTCAGGTTGCTGAATTCCCCAGAACACACACACCCGGTTGCTGAAAAGGACCCCAAGAGGCTTCCTAGTGTTATCGGAATGCTACTCGAGTTGAAGGCAGCTTACACCATGGATGCGTTTAAAGGCCGTGACGAAGACCAGGGGGTTCGGTCATATGCCAATAAACTTATCAGCACATGGCCATTAGAGAAGTTCACTGTGCCATCGGAATGGCCAACGGCCAACTGGAGACTACGCACTTACGTACCCCTATGGCATGGAATGGACCTGGCTTTGCGGGTTGAAGAAATCAAAGCCCAACCGGATATTCGACAAGGCCTGGAAGCTCGAAGGGACGAATTTGCTAAGGCCGTTGAAAGTTGCCTCCAGACTGTTGACAAGCACCGCCAAGAGGTCACCCACACTGTATCTTGGACGAAGTCATTACTGCATAAATAGGGGATTTCTATCTTCACCTAGAGGATATATGTATTCAATCACGGCGTTTTGATTATGTTGGTCTCCAGAGCCAAATCATTTACTACTTGTATAATAGAAAGTTTTATATCTGTTACCCAACCCGTTCATGTATGAATCATATCTCTTTTTGCATCTCATTCTGATCACGCTAGTGATAAATAATTTAGAGGTTTCCCATTAGAAGTATCCCAGTATGGGTTTCTAGCTCCGCTCATTGATTTAGTACCACAGAAATGTTGCTTGTTTAAAAGAAACAAAAAATGATCATATCTCATAAGTATACGTTCAAGCTAGGAGAACAAGAGTACTGTCCTCCTGGAATAAGCCATCAGCTTCAAGCTTGCATTCACCAGATACCACAGCGGGTCCAGATATGTGGATCTATGACAATGATTAGTATACCTTCAAGAGAAAATGGAGTTGCGTAATTATTCTTATGATCTGTTCTCACCTTTCCCTCTATGGCTTTCTCATTACCTGACTTTTCATCGTAATCAACTAGTTTGACCTCCACACTATTCAGGGGAGGGCCAAAGTGGCTGAAACCCCGCTGTCCTCTGTAATCATATGGATTTGTCTGACAAACCGCTCCAGCTACCTTCCCAGTAGTAAGCGCATATGCGAGTCGAACACCTGTCATGATCCTGAAATCTGTAAGCTGGTCACTGGTGAGCTGATTGTTTCTATCTCCTTCAGCTCGATGAGAGACAAGAATCAATCTTAAATTTTTTAGCGCCTGTTCAGAGACAGGCCCACTTCCGCCTAGAGCAGAGAGAATGTTGCTTGATGGCATCCTTCCTGACTCTAAGGCACGAGTTTGGAAGAAGCGGCCAAGTTTCACCAATGGGTTCAATTGAGGGCCCATGTATTGAGCATGGTAATCGGACATAGTGTGCGATGAGGCGATGATAATCGTTGGCGAGACTCCGGTAGTTGCAAGAGCAAAGTCGACGATTTCTCCTGCGACAGAGTTGAAAGCGATTGATGCATTTGAGTACAAGGCGGCTAGAACGAAACAAAGGGTATAAGAGTGTGCAAGTGAATCAATTGACAAGACCAAGTCTGATGACTTGAGCTGTTCGTTGCGAGGTAACGAAGAACCCAATGCAGCAACACCAGAGATAATGTTCTATGTATGAGACTTAGTCCCCAAATTACTCAAAAAGGGAGAAATAAGAACCTTACCTCTGAAGTATATTCGACAAACGAACCTAGGCCCTTCTTAGAGGGACATAGAGTGGTCAGAGAGGGGGTTGGGGATTTAACATCCCATTCGGGTACTTCAGGGCCAACTGAGCCCTCCTTCTCATTGACCAATTCGTGCCATGTTGACACTTCGATCTTACTACCAGCCCCTTCAGGGACTTCATTCCAGTCCATGTGTCGGCTGCCCTCCTGAGCAACCCATATTCCATGTCTCAGAGCAGGACACATTTTCAGCAAAGTAGTAACCTCCACAGCACCAGCTTCAGCAATGAGAACATCGACCTTTGTCTCCTGAAGATAACCAGCAAGTGTTTGAGGGGGGAGATTATGAGGAATAATAACAATCGGAAAGCCATAGAAAGCGCTTGCTGTTGGACACATTAGTTAACAGCATCGTCATAATCTGAGCCAGTGGATTCATACCGAAGATAGTTGCAAGCATCTCTACCGAGTCAGTGAGACATATAGCCACTCTTTGTGCCTTGGTATCACGGATATACTGTCCAATGATCTTGATTTCCCGGGAAATATCATCAACACTGCGTTCTTGGGCCGTGTTTCCAAACACAGTGAAGATGGATCCCTTTTTCCCCGATGGTGTGCCGTCACTATTCAACTCCCCGCGGACAACAGCTTTCCATATATCTCGAAGGTCTCCCCGTCTGCCAGCAGTCCATCTAGGAGTGTCTGGATCACGAACACCAAGTCCAGCCTTGAGCGGGTAGCCATGGGGAACGTCCATGGCCCGTACAGACGCAGACTCCCCGCGCTGTCTGACGGGTGCTACCATTCCCTGGCGGGCCAGTACATATGGGTGAGCATCGGGGTCTGGTGTGAAGAAGAGCGTATATCCGATGTACGAGACGAGGACTGTTGCGAGCAGAGTCGAGTAGATATTCCAATCGGAGAAGAGCGCTTCCAGGAGCGCATCTGCCCTGGCCAGCATCGAGTCTTCGGCCGCCATGGTGAGATGTGGGTGTTTGACTTGTTCTGTATCCAAGCCTGGCCAGCTTGTTAGTTCTTATACCTCGCTGAAGCAGCGGCGCTTATAAGTGACGTTGTTTGGGTGGGATGAGTACGAACTCGGTTTCAACTGCACAATCACCTTCCAAGCTCAAATATGGGATCTGACAACGTAGAGTGACATAACAAGCAGTGTGATGTGTTAATTACCGTAATACAGGTCTCTTCTCGTATATATATGGCTTGCTTGCGTGTGCCGTAATGTTGCTGTGATATCTCGATACGCGACAGCCGCCGGTTTCTCTGGTAGCGCGGTAATTTTGGCGCCTAAATGAATATCAAGCCAAAAATCCAAACAGAATAACATTGAGAGTTTAGGAACTTCTGCAAAGCGACAGCGAGGGAGGAAAGCCAGCGTTGGATGAGCGTACCATGATATGAACCAGGAAGAGATACTATCCCTCGATATTTCGATAACTGGAAGGTAAGTAAGGTAGGTCTTTTTATCCAGGTGAGTTTTTCCATACATCCCCAACTGAACCATGAGCGAGGAGCACCGGCTTACCATGCTGCTAGGCGTTCTGCTTCATTCGCTGCGTTTTTTTTCTTGCTTACGGCGTGCATTCCTTCGCATCAATGGCTCCTTCATCTCTCCCGTCGACTCCGCGGATGCTGGATGCCAATGGTCCGTCAACAGCTTCCCCAGGAAAATGGCGACATCCACGTTTGAAAGAGATTATTCGACGACAAAATGCGTCCAGCGTCAATGAGAAAACAATTAGACGGCTGCTTTTAAATGCAGGCACATTGATTTTTACTGGCTTTATTGGCAACACCTACAAGCAATAGTATGAGACGGCCAACTCCCCCAGACAAGGAGAGCAGAGTGCATGCTAACAGGGTGGTGATAATAGCTCCCTAGCGATTGGATCTTTTTTTCAAATTCCGACCTACCCAGACATCGTACTGCTTGTCATCCGCCTTTTACTGTTTATCAACATTGCCATGATTCTGTACCCTATCTACCGGGCACCTGACCAGGTATCCGACATCCCGCTGACACCATCACAAAGAGCACTGCTGGGACTCGACCCAAATAGCACATCTCCCGCTACACAGGGCACCGAATACATCACCCCACCGAGATACCGCATATCATCAAGTTCGCGCAGGAGAAGCTCGGGTTCATGGGGCAACTCGCCCTTCTCATACTCGGGGGCTGAAGACTCACCCACGAGAAGCCATCCCGACAGCCCGCCATTCACTCCTTCTGGTAGCCCGCTGTTCCACAAGGGGATTTGGTCCGGTGGCCGGGACAGTGGCCGTAGAAACAGCTTTGGCTCGCCTTCGCCGCTGGGACGGTCCAGCATTGGAGCACGAGATGGAAGCTCCCTGCGAGCTCCCTCGACGCCCACGCCGTTTGGAAAGGGCACGTCCCCTGTTATGACACAGAAATGGCTGTTCGAGAGAAGCCGGATGTCCTCGTCCGGCAGCAGCGTGTTCAGCCAGTGATCTATGATGTATTGTTTCTGGAGGAAGCTCAGCTAGTTACGGTGTCAGGGCGTTTGAGGATTGTGTGTATTTACACTTCTTTTTTTAACTTCTTTTCCTTTTTTGCCCTCTCTGCTGCTATCTTCTTCGATGTTTCCTTTTCCTCTCCCTGAATTAGAGAGCGCAGCATCCGGGATAGCAGCCCAGCAAGCTTTGTTTTTCCCTTGCTGTAGCTCGAGATAGGACATACGTCCCTTTTAATCTGACCTGGCCAGCCCCGTCCGGCCAGCCTGTACCTCCTGATCGAATAGCTTGCGTCTGTTATCTCTGTGCCAGGTCGGAGCAGCTGGCATGTACCTCCTGATGCGCGTACAAGGATGTTTGCTGGGCGGCCGCGGAGGTTGGCCTTCTCTTCTGCGCTTCCTCTTCCTCTTCCTCTTCTCCCGCCGCTTCGCCTGGCCACCAGCTCAACTACCATCTCACCCGGCAAGACAGAAGACAGACGGCTCTCGCAGCAGGAAGACGCCGCCGGAGAGAAGAGCTCGCTGCCGTCCTCGCTAGCTAACTACCCCAAGCCCGCCTCCAAGCTTGTCTCTGGTCGTTCCTTGGTGCGGCCCATCGCAACAAAGCTGCCAACTTCGCTTTGAGAGAAATAAACAAATATTGCGCCACCTCCAAGTCCAGCTGCTCACTGTTGAATGAAGCCTACTATTTAATCTACCGGCCTGCCGTCTCGTATCGCCTTTTTGTTTCTTTGCTGGCTCGACCTCGCGCTCGCTTTTCGTCTCATTCTCTGCGATCTGCTCCTGTGGGACTCGGGCTGTTTACCTACGTCATGGCGTCTCCTCCTCGCCGGGATGGCGCAGAACAGCCGAAGAGAGACGTGAAAAACCACGTCTTATTCGAGATTGCGACGGAGGTTGCTAATCGAGGTTCGTCTTCGCTTTTCCATTTATCTTATTTTCTTTGCTGCTGTTTTGCTGTGCGGGGCGTTAACATGATATTACAGTTGGCGGGATCTACTCGGTTCTCAAGTCCAAGGCGGCCGTGACAACCGCAGAGTATGGCGAGCGATATACGCTGATAGGCCCCTTGAACCGGGCGTCGGTATGTAGTTCACTTATGTTGTTGCTGAAGACAGCTGGACCTGTACTGATTTTATCTTTGATACCAGGCGGTGGTCGAAGTGGAAGCCCTCACGCCAACCAACCCGCATTTGATCGGGGCCATTGATGCAATGACCGAGCGTGGCATAGAGATCGTATACGGTCGATGGCTGATAGAAGGTGCTCCCCGCGTTCTCTTGATTGATACTGGTGCAGGATACAAGTATCTTGACGAGTGGAAAGGAGATCTTTGGAACGCTGCTGGAATTCCGTCACCTTCGGCTGATTCAGAGACCAACGAGGCAATTGCATTTGGATATCTTGTTGCATGGTTTCTAGGAGAGGTCAGTTCTTGTGCACAAATCTCCTGAAAAAGCCAAAATTTACAGCTGATTTTCTCGCAGTATATATGTCGAGACACCGAGAGGGCTGTTATAGCTCATTTCCATGAGTGGCTCGCAGGAGTTGCCTTGCCCCTGACCAAGAAGCGGCGGATGGACGTAACGACTATCTTTACCACTCATGCAACTCTTCTCGGACGATACCTTTGTGCCGGCTCAGTTGACTTCTACAACAACTTGAAGAACTTTGACGTGGATGCAGAGGCCGGGAAACGAGGAATCTACCACCGCTACTGCATCGAGCGAGCTGCTGCTCATTCTGCTGATGTCTTCACCACAGTCTCTCACATTACAGCCTACGAGAGCGAGCACTTGCTCAAACGAAAGCCCGACGGCGTCTTGCCTAATGGATTGAACGTCAAGAAATTCTCGGCTGTTCATGAGTTCCAAAACTTGCACTCTCATTCAAAGGATAAGATTAACGACTTTGTACGTGGTCATTTTTACGGCCACAATGATTTTGACCTGGAAAATACCCTATATTTCTTCACCTCCGGCCGCTATGAGTACCGAAATAAGGGTGTTGACATGTTTATTGAATCACTCGCGAGACTTAATCACCGGCTGAAGGTATCTGGATCCAAGACTACCGTGGTAGCCTTTATAATCATGCCTTCCCAGACTTCCTCTCTCACTGTTGAGGCTCTCAAGGGACAAGCTGTGGTCAAATCGCTACGAGATACCCTGGAAAGCGTGGAAAAGAGTATCGGGAAACGGCTGTTCGAACGCTGTCTGGGCTGGAAAGAAGGTGACAACATGCCCGATGAAAAGGACCTCATGACAAACCAGGATCGTGTGCTTATTCGTCGGCGTTTGTTTGCCATGAAACGGCACAACCTTCCTCCAATTGTCACTCATAATATGATCAACGACTCTGAAGATCCCATCCTTAACCAACTTCGCCGAGTCCAACTCTTCAATTATCCTACTGATCGCGTCAAGGTGGTCTTCCACCCCGAATTCCTTAACTCTGCGAACCCTGTGCTGCCTTTGGACTACGACGATTTTGTCCGTGGTACCAACCTTGGAGTTTTCCCTTCATACTATGAGCCATGGGGCTATACCCCTGCAGAGTGCACGGTTATGGGAATCCCAAGTATAACGACCAACCTTGCTGGTTTTGGATGTTATATGGAAGAGCTGATCGAAAACTCAGCCGATTATGGTATATATGTGGTTGACAGACGATTAAAAGGCGTTGACGACTCGGTAAACCAACTTACGAGCTACATGTTCGACTTCTGCCAGAAGAGCAGACGGCAGCGAATCAACCAAAGAAATAGAACAGAACGACTGAGTGATCTGCTGGATTGGAAACGCATGGGCTTAGAGTATGTCAAGGCTCGCCAGCTCGCTCTCAGACGTGGTACGTGTTCATATTTCTCCCTTTTATCCAGGTGAAAACCCTCTAATTATACAATCAACAGCATACCCTACCTCTTTTGATGCAGCAGACGATTTCCACGAGGCTATCGGTCATACAGAACAAAAGATATCTCGACCACTATCTGTCCCAGGTTCTCCTCGCGATCGGACGGGTACCATGACCCCAGGAGACTTTGCTTCCATCCAAGAAGGCCACGAAGGGCTAGATACCGAGGATTATATATCCTACAAACCTCCGTAAGCGATGCTAGTTTTAAACCGATTACTTGAATCAGTGTCAATGGAGTTAATGCTAACACCATACCTAGAGCCGGTAGCGATGATGAGGAAGAGGATTCGATCCCCGTTCCTATTAGACCGAAAAGGCAATCCATCTCCCTCAAACTTGGCCCAGCTCCTAACGGACATGGAGCTGGAAGCGAAACTAAGGCTGCTTGATGACTAGATGAAGAGGATGGCAGTGCGTGATATTATGTTTGCTTGATACATAGTTTGCCGAGAAGGGTTCGAGAAGTCAGTGCTGGGGAAGTGGGATGGTCATGGATGTGAATAGCTTTATTGAGCTATTAAATATATTCCTCCCTCCGTCTATTTGATTTATTATTTGGATCTTTCATTCTTGCGCACGAGTAGCGATTCTAATAGCTATTCAAAGCTATGTTCAATGCTCTGTATTTTTATGTCTTTCTATATCACTTTTCTGGGTAATACAACAACTTAATTACATCTGATGACATTCTGGTGGTGAACTGTCCCTTAAAATGGGAGGGAAAGAAATATTAGGCTGCACGGTTGTACTGTATTCATTAACTATTACATTTGTGTTCTTGCTGGTGTTGATTTTCTAGATTTCTATGGGTTGGTCTTAAGCCTCATAACTGGTAGTCAGTGGTATTTACATCAGAAAAGGGCCAGAATGATTGCTTAGCAAAGCTTGGTTTACCATTAGTGAAAATAGGAGTGTTTCTTGGATTGTTAAGGGGGATCATATCTACTTGTCACGCTTGTAGATCTTAGCCAGGAAGATTTCAAAGACGCTGCCCTTGAGCCCCTCGGAGGTATCAATGGACGCAATCATGTTCTTCAACTTTGAAACTTGCTCTTCCTCAAAGTCATGGTAGACCTTCTGGAGATTCATCTCGTCGAAAACAGCCTTGACCTTGGCTTCCATGGCAGCATCTTTTCGGCCATAGCACTCGTCGAGGACCTTGCGTTGAGCAGGAGTGCAGCGCTTCAAAGCCTGGTTGACCACCCACGAGCACTTGTTGTCCTGAATATCGGTTCCGATTTTTCCAATTTGCTCAGGCTTTCCGAAAACGTCAAGGTAGTCATCCTGAGCCTGGAAGTATTGGCCCAACGGGATGAGGATATCATGAGCCTGACGAAGGTTCTTAGGCGTAGCAAGCTGGAGGTAATGTAGAGCAAGAGCAACTGGAAGGTAGAAGCTGTAGTAGGCAGTCTTGTAGATAACAATGAAGTTGAACTTGTCCATGTTGAAGTTGTTCAGGTCGACCTTATCTTCAGGGGCAGTGATAAGATCACATAGCTGGCCGAGTTCAGTTTGGAAGGTAATCTCGTGGAAGAGCTCGACAAGGTCGACATATGCAGTGTGAGAGCGGAAGTGTTTCTTCAAAAGAACGTAGATAGAGGACTCGAGCATGAAAGCATCATTGATTGCAATCATGCCGACTCCTGGGCGGCGGTACCAGCATGGCTCGCCACGGCGAGTGATCGAGCTGTCCATTATATCATCTGAGACGAGGAAGAAGGCCTGCAGGAGCTCGGTCATCCATCCAAGGAGGCCAAGGTGCTTGAATTGCTCCTCAGTCAGGGGCTTCTCGAGGAGCGCAAGGGCAGTGTCGGGGACCGATAGGCCACGGTTTAGTTTCCCTCCGGGCGTGTTCTCATTCAGGTTCTACTGCGCATGTTAGTTACCGCAAATGCCAGGCTACTTCGAGCAAGACTGACCTTTTGCAGCCACTCCAGAGCTGGTGCCGGAATGTTATATTCCTTCGCATGCTCGCTGATATCCTGTACGAGTGCGGGGAAGACCTTGTTGAAGTCCTCGCGGCTGGTGCTGGGAGGCATGGTTAACGAGACAAAAAAGTGTCCTCCTCGGTCAGTCAGAGCGAAAGGAAGAGAGCACTACGCGAAGAAAGCCCGGTGCGATGCTCAATGGTCTATGGAGTGAGTAGTCGCAAGGAGTCTCTTTTCCAGGTTCTGCGTTTTGTTGCGGAAGTTGAAGTTGGGAATCGCAAGCCCACCATGTTTGCGCTGTTTGCATCTTCGCCGAGGTCGCTTCGGCCGCAGAAAACAGTGTAAATAAGTAGACACGGACGACTTCAACAGCTAATATTGTTAAGGTATAGCTGCCATTTAATGGTGTTTTCTGATACGTGAAGCTGTGCTGACACCGTTGCGCTGCAGGCGGTTTTGAAATTCGGGCCCTTCTCGTTTGTTAGCTGATCACAGCGTCATGCTCATATAGCAACGTCTCACATCGATATTCCAGACGGGCGCGATAATGAATTTCAGTGCGGATAATGTCAGGGAGCTGAGACACAGGCTGGAAGATGCTGCCATAAAGTGCTCTGAACGATGCTTGTATCACTCTGCCAAATGGTACGGTGCTGAATATATGCCTGTGCAATACCCCGGCAGCTACCTTTATATATAACCCAGGACTAATAATGCCTATACAGGGCGGCAGAAATGCTGGACTCGCTGGTTCCAATAGACGAGGATGAAGGTGCAGATACAGAGCCAAATTCGCCCATGGATGTTTCTCCCGCTCTGCCGACCAACCCATTCCTTGGACCTCAAGACCCCGAGGAAGCTGCCTTGGAAACAAAAGAAGCTTACAAGTACATACTCGCAAAGTCCTACTTCGATACTCGGGAATATGATCGTTGCGCGGCCGTCTTTCTTCCTCCATCTATGTCCTCAATTCCACTAGCACCGCGTGCTCCATCAACATCCAAATCAAAGACACAGCTTCAGTCGCAAAAGGGCAAAGAACCAGCAACGATATTTGCTGGTAAAAAGAAGAGCAGCTCCTCGCCGCAAAATCCCTTTCCAGTTCTAAGTCAGAAATCCTTATTTCTCGCACTGTATGCGAAGTATTTGGCTGGCGAGAAAAGAAAGGACGAAGAGACAGAAATGGTGCTTGGGCCGGCGGATGGAGGTATGACGGTGAATAAGGAACTGCCAGGGCTTGCCCAAGGACTCGAAGGCTGGTTTGCCGACAGGCGGGAAAAGGGCCTAGAAGATTCAGGACAGGGATGGCTCGAATATCTCTACGGGGTCGTGCTTTTGAAAGCAAAAAACGAAGAAGAAGCAAAAAAATGGCTAATACGGAGCGTACACCTTTACCCATTCCACTGGGGCGCATGGCAAGAGTTAAACGACTTGCTAGCCAGTACAGATGACGTATGGCCCCCGAAAAAACAATTGACGAATTCCGAGCATCCTGCTAACTATATGGCATATTCCAGCTCAAGAGAGTAGTGGACGAATTACCCCAAAACATAATGACTCTAGTATTCCACCTATATTCTAGCCAGGAACTCTATCAGGCAACAGAGCAAACGCACCAGATCCTTTCTGAGCTTGAGGGGGTCTTCCCGTCAAGTTCATTCCTAAAGACTCAACGAGCCTTACTCTATTATCACTCAAAAGGTATGCTCGTTAGCCGCAACCACATGGGAAGTTCACCGTTAACTTTGCCCTTATTTAGATTTCGAAGAAGCTTCCCATCTTTTTTCTGAACTTTTAATCAATGCTCCCCACCGTCTGGATTGTCTAGACCATTATTCAAATATTTTATATGTCATGGGTGCACGTCCACAACTTGCATTCATTGCTCAGCTAGCCACTGCAACAGATAAATTTCGCCCAGAAACCTGTTGCGTTGTGGGCAACTATTATTCCCTAAAATCAGAACACGAGAAAGCAGTGATGTACTTTCGACGCGCCCTAACATTAGACAGGAACTTTTTATCCGCATGGACCCTCATGGGCCATGAATACATTGAAATGAAAAATACCCACGCCGCAATTGAGTCTTATCGGCGAGCAGTTGATGTTAATCGCAAGGACTACCGTGCATGGTATGGTCTAGGTCAAGCTTACGAGGTGCTGGACATGTCTTTTTATGCCCTTTTCTACTACCAGCGCGCTGCAGCCCTACGGCCATATGACCCCAAAATGTGGCAGGCTGTGGGGTCCTGCTATGCCAAAATGGGCCGCCTCGAACAAGGTATCCAGGCGCTTAAGCGTGCACTGGCTGCAGGGTCATACTCTGATGGTGGAGGAATGGGTTTGAACTCGTTTTCCAGCGCGGGAGGCGCTGGCGGTTCGAATCCAAAAGGCGCTGGAAACACCCCAAGAGTACTTGACCCCGAGACACTTTACCAAATTGCAACTTTACACGAAAAGTTAGGGGATGGGCACGGAGCTCGTGCATACATGGAGCTCACATTAAGACAAGAGGTGATATTACTAGAGGATGATTCTGATTATGAACCCGAGGAAAAGGATGACTGGGGAAGACAAAACTCTTCGACAACGGAGCGCTACACCGAAATAGGAGGCACAGGAGTAACAGCAACTACTTCGAAGGCTCGTTTATGGCTTGCGAGATACTTTTTTAAAGGAAATAACTTTGCCAGGGCTAGCGAGATGGCCAGCGAATTACGTCAGCATGGTGTTGAGGTTGAGGAAGCGCAGGCACTGTTGAGGGATATCAAAGCCAGAAGGGCAATCCTCGATAATCAATAAATTGCTCATATATTTTACCATGGGCTTCAAGGTGTACATGGGGTGCTGGCACGTTCAAGAGAATGCAATAGATTCTTTAACTTTGGTGCATGATTAATTATTATGAATGAATGATATGAACGCCCTAAATGAAATATTGAAGTAACGGTCTGAAATAAGGGCAATCCCCATATATAGATATTGTAATATATAAATACATGTAACTAATTAGCAACAACACTCGGACAGAAGTCATCCCACGACCTGATTATGGTGGGATATGGCAGTAGCTAAGTACTCTTTCGTGGAGGATTTAGCTGTAGCAACGGCAGAATCTCCGTCCAATCACGACTGCAGCATATGTTTTTGGGTAACTTCTCACTTTGTGAACCAAGGGAGCTATTAGGCAACCCTTGATCCTGTCGATTCTCGCATTCAGGGGTTTCCTCATGACCCCATTTAATACATACATCTATGACATCTTTGCCGAATCTCTGCCATCGATCAGACAAGCCTTCACCAGCCTTTGCCGCATTGAACTCTTGCCCAACAACCTTCCAATGCATGAATATAATTTTACCAGTATTTGGCAACTTATTCTGCTGTTGTAATGAGGTGAGAGCTCTGCCGACCTGTCTTAGCTCAGCTGCAACCTTAGACGAGTGACGGGAATTAGAGTCCACAAGTATGATACCATAGAGTGATGGCACGACACTGCCGTTCTGTGACGAGACCAGTGAAGTCAGCCATCGAGGAATGGACGAAGGTGAGATTAACGATCTACATGATGGTATGTAGCGTCGAAGTAAGCTTATTTTTGTGTCTGATAGCGAGGATCCCAGAAAAACGGGAAGCTTGAAAATGGGAGAGCCTTTCATTGCATTAGGCCTGTTGTTGCGGCCTGATATATCGGATGAAGATCTGGTCAACGTAGTCTCTAATGAACACTTGTTATTGCTATTATGAGAATGGTATGACTGGAAGGAAAGGGCTCTCTGAGGCGCTGGGTTCATGGAAAATCGATCCGATGGAAAGCCAGAATTAGGCTCATATAAAGCAGCTCTTTTGGCAAGTTGCGGCTTATTATGAAAAGAGTCAATTCTCGGGAAGAGTGTGGATTTATCTTCACTTGAGTTAGTTATATCGGCTAAATGTCGACTAGGTGATTCATTGCTATGGCGCGGTTCACCAGATGTTTCTGTGGCATCTGGGAAGATGCAAACTAGGCTTGACATCGTCTCGTTGGAATTTTCCTGGTTATTGACACAATTGATAGTCGAGGAACCACGTTGAGTTCGAAGGCTGAGCTCCTGCTCAGACGTATGAGATGATTTTACTACAGCCACTTGATTGGATTCCTGTGGATTGATCGGGTTGTTTCCAGCAAACAAAGGTTGGGATGAGCTGGCAGCACTTGATGTTGTCACTGTGGTAGCTGAGTTTTCAGAATGATCAACAATATATTCAGGTTTTTTGTCAGCTGGATCGAGCTTTTCAGCCAATTCAGCAGCTTCTTGTGATAGTTCTTCAACTGGAACAGCATTAGCAATTTGGGCCAGTTCTTGTAAGTCCCTGAAGGACACTGCTGCTTCATAATCCCTATCCGAATGGATTTTCACAATTCGAGGGAACCGAAGGGAGTAATATCGAACACCTTGAGGTTTATCAAATCCGAAGCCGGTCATCTCCACAATAAATGGTATCCTAAATACTGTCTGAATCTCCGGTATTCTGACTTGATCGACTCGAAAGGAAAAGGGAACATCATCAGAGTCAGCATCACAAGCTTGGAACTTCCCCAGTTGGTTGAGAGTTTGGAACAGATTAGCGTTGATGTTTTGTTTGTTCAGAATATCAATAACGCGGAAGGCTGGTTTTGGTGAGAGCAAGTCAACGTCATCATCCAGACAACCAACGAAGAAAGAGGTCCACGATAATCCTTTAATGTGACCAAGGGCGGCAGCTTCCCGAGAATCATATCTTCCCCCCAGTAGAATAAAGTCAGCTGTATCTCCTAAGCCTGGGATAGACTCCTTTTTGAATTTCATCCAGCAGCAAGAAAATTCACGAGTATCCTGAGAGAACGTTCGAAAATACGGCTCATTCACTCCCTTCAAAACAAGCCCTTCCCATTTCTGGGCCGAGACAAGAGCGAACTCTTCTTTTAAGTGTTCATATGCACTGGGCACAGAAAAATCTATATTGAATTGCGTTGCAATCCCAGCCAGTCCACAGATTGGATGTACAACTTCTTTAAGTAGAGCCCTTCGTTCCCCATAGGTTTTGGATAATGCGACATTATCATCTAGAAGCAATAAGTCGAAAAATATGATATATAGATGTTCACGAGGGTCTGGCCTAAAAAAAGAAGCGTAAGTAACGATGAATAACTAATAAGCTAGGTATATACGCACGGAGAATCGCTTTCAGTGCCAATATAAGTTCCTGCTCTCATGATGTGCCTTCGTAAATGATGAAAGGGGAGGATATCATTGGTAATATCACTCCAAACCAACAGTTCACCTTCCAGTATGCATCGTTTAGAAAAGCGACAGCCAGGCTTTCGGATCCGCAGCGAATCCTTAATAGCTCTATGGATATTTTTTCTATCCACCGTTGAGTCTTTGCCACTCTTCGAGAATATTTGGATACATTTGGGACCCTTCTCCAAGTCAATATGTACCTGACAATACTCTCCATCATACTTCCTCTCGATACTCATTAGTCGCTTATCAGCCATTCTGCAGCAGTGTCTGAGGTTTCTAGCCTTATAATATTCCGGCCTCCCAACCTTGACTCCAACTTGTGGAGCCAGATGAGGAATAGCTAATTCCATAAGGGTCTGGCCATATTCTGGATCAGGGCATGGCGGAAACCTCTTAACGGGTCCGTGATCCATTGCCTCCAAGGCTCCCTTTAGGCTGCTCTGTACTGAAAGAAAGGCCGGAAGCATGAAGTGAAACTTTCGCAGGGACAATCGCTGTGGAATATTAACAGGAGTGTATTCCCTGAGAAGCAGCCTAGTAAACCATTTTGCATCACGACTATTTAATTGGCGAAATATCGGTTTTAAGGCCTCATCTACCTGAATAGCAGTACGTTGGCGGCGCACATCAGGAGCAGAGAAGCGGCATCTGGATGCAATTTTAGTCAAGGCAGAATCTATTTCCTCAACAGTAACAGGGGAGTTCTTTAATAATTCATTCTCCGCACCAGCCATGACTCGCTCAACGCATTCGCCAAGATCGCCGCGGCCCGGAGTTTTCCACGCCTCTAGCTCGCGCCATCGAGTAGCTCCAAGCAGCAAGCAGCGCCCTATAATTTTAACTAAGGCTGGCTCTTTGAAGCCATGAACGCGGTCAGGCCGTAATTCGGGGAAAAGACACGACAGTAAAGCAACGTAGTCAGTATCTCCTCCGTGAATTTTCTTCTCGTGAACACGGAACCAATTGGTCACAGTTGCCACATCAGGATCTCTGCTTTTGCCTGTAGTTGTGGCCTTCAGAGTTCTGTTTGCATCCAAGCTCGAAAGCAAGTCGCATATATAAGAAAAGTTAAACCCCATGTCCAATCCGGTAGCGCAGCCTATGGGTTGATTCGAACAGCTGCATGATGTAGGCAACCGCCTGCGCCCGATATGCGCACAAGCATGAAAGTACGGATAGCTAGATGGTTTATATACTGGGTATATAGGACTTCAAAGAATGAGACAGTAATATAGGATCCGCATGCAACTGTAGATATCTAGACCCACCAAACTTGCTGATATCTTCGCAAGTAGATGTTTTTCGATAACGACGACGTTGATTTAAGCGAGATTTCGCGTTAAAAAACACGCGGCAGGCGCCAAAGCACGTGATCCAGCCGCGTCTCCATCAGAAGCATCCATTTCTGCGACCCTTCAATCACTAGCCACAGAGTCAAAGGCACCAAGCTTTGCAAGCAAAGAAGACGTTAGAATGGGGATAGGGCATTTTAACGGCTAGCTAAGGGCAATGCGTTCATTCAATAAGATGCCATGCTCGTCCTTGATAGAACTTGGAACCGGGCTTAGTGACGTCATAGCTCGGGGCTCAAGCATCTATATAAGAGGATCAAATGGCTCTCAGCCTATTATCTGTAAAGTTTTTGATACTACATCACACTACGACTCAATTATTACGCAGAACATTTCATATCGATAATGTCTTCTGAAACGTCTGGTGGATTTTCGGCTGGTGCCAGGGGTGGAAATCAAGCTGGTAGGGCTGGTACTGCCGGGGCTGGAGCGACAGATCCTACCAGTGCTGGAGGCGGTGCAGCAAAGGAGTCAGTTCGGGAAATGGGTCAGGGAGTAAAGTCTGCTGCTGCAGGTGCCCATGTGAGTCAACCATCAATGGGAATGGAAGAGACATGAAAACTGAGATATATGGGTAATATAGGGATTTGGCGAGAGGGTTCGTGGTTCTGCTGGTGCATTTGTTGACCGAGCCATGAACAATCTAGAGGGTGCTGAAAAGAATGAACGTGTCGTCAGGGAAGGCCAAAAGGAAATGCATACTGGAGATTTCAGTCATGCCACGAGGGAAAAGGAAGGGCTGCCACATAGTGAACGGGAGGTGAATATGCAGAAGGGTGCTGGAACTGCTCAGCCTCCTCCTGACTACTACTGATTGTGTTTATGAGTCCTTCACTTCCAAGTTCATTTTTCGGGTTGATGTGGAAATTTACGTTTCAAATTGAATATAAGCACATAATATGATACGTGCTTGGGGAGCTAGTGGCTGCTCGAAATGGTTGCGAGATTCTTTGGCCATTGTATCGAAGACAGTAGTGATAAATTGCAGTCATATTCCAGTCAGTCTCGAACTAGCGAATTAACAACTGCGGAACGAGATCGGAGTCTAATATTATTTGGATATGTTAGTATACCAAACACTATTCATCTCGCGCCAGTTCTACCTACACATCCCCATTGATTCAGTCCATTCTTTGTCAGGTCTTCGTACAACAACTTTGATTTCGCGTTCTATATAGCAAGCATTGCTAATGATAATGCCCATAGCGGGATTGCCCTTATATCATTGTCGATTGGGGCTAGGGTGACACTTCGAAAGGATGCCGGGGTGTAGCAGAGTATCATACACTCTGAATTTGATAGGCAGGAGAGATACAGTAACACATACATGTATATGTTCGCTCACAAAATGCCTTGTTTTTGCAAACTGTTTAATTACGGTTAGCGATATTAAGAATGATAACAGGGGGCGGTGGGGAGGAGTGTTTTAGCTAGTTAGGGATACATACTCAAGGTAGATACGTTCAGGCATGACATTGCCCTCGGCGTCTTCCATTTGAACGACGTTCTCTTTGATATCCCGTTCATGTTTTCGTTCTTTTTCAAGGGTCTCCCACAGTCGTAAGGCTTCATCAATCTTGGTAATTTCTCTGAACAAGCTTGTCTGTTGGGTAATACCAAGGCATCTTAGCCCGTAGATATGTCGAGCCTCCGAAAAGTGCTTATCAAAAGCACGGCGACCCATGTAAACGAAATTCCCGCATATCTCGCAAGAAAATTCCACTCCAAGTCCATGAAGTTTGTAGAGCCAGTAGGGTATAGGCTTTCCATCCCATGCTAGTGGCAGTTTCAATGGATTGTAGACTTTTTCATCATTATCACTCTCCGACTCGGAGTCTCTGCGCTTTCCTGGACCCTTGTCTCCAGTATCAGCGAAAAGTGCATCAAGCTCCATTTGACGCTCGCGCTCTGTCATTCCTTGTTTCCTCTCAACATTGACACGGGTAGCTTGTCGTTCTTCCTTGAGGGCTTTTGCTAGGGATGAAATGCGATGTTCACGCTCTGCAACTGCACGCTCTTTCAGCCCACGGACCAAGGCATCTTTGGATTTTTCGGACTGTGATTGTGGCGTATCAGAGTTTCCATTGGCTTTCTTTGCATCAGCGGCTCGGATATGCTTCTTTCCCTTCAAGTGATTCTTATACACATTTTCGTTTGTAAACTCCTTTTCACAATCCGCACACCATATTCCCTCTCCCGTACCCTCCGTCTTTGGGCCGGTACCGTTCTTAGATTGCGATTCCTCGGTCCAGCCAGGCAGTTTCTTTGCATCCCAAAGCTCTGTAAACTCGGCATCAAAGCTTGCAAAAAGCTCATCAAGAGGCTCCAAGGGGTTCGATCGTTTGATAAACCCTTCCAGGTATGCAGCAAGCTCGCCAACATAATTAAAGTACTGATCTGTAAGCTTGTTGGCCCGTTTCACAGGTAGCTCCGGCTGGGTAAATGTGTCAAATAAGTCTAGATATTGCAGATACGTCAGGCGTTTCACCCCTGGTAAATTGAGATATAGTTCATGAAGCTTTGTGAGATCAAAGAACTGGCCCAGTGATTCCTCTCCAGTGAACATATTCTCTATCTCTTGTATAGCAGCGTCGTTCTCACCGGAGCCTTGCCGATATGCCTTTTCAAGGTTTTCCACGGGCTCATTTGGGTATCGGCGGTGAAAATCCTTTATCTCTTCTAGATGTTTATAGAACTCATCCATAGGATCGCCGACGGTTAAAGACTGGATCTCTTTGGCGCGAAGCCCATTTGCATCTTCGTAGATATCTAACAGTCGTTGAGACTGCTCCTGTATGCGATTGAGAAATCTAGCAACTTGATGATCACGGAGAAGTCGCTCTCGAATCTGATTTTAGCCATCTCTATGGTTAGTCGGTGACATCTAGCATTCTGTTAAATGACCAGTACAATACTCACATTGCGAGGCTCTTCAGCAACGCGGTCACTGATTCCTTGCTCAAGCCTCTCTAGGTCCTCGTGGATGAATCTCTGATCTTCTAATAGCATGTTGGCGTTTTAAGTATGGTTGCGCAGAAATCAAGCACCGTTGGAATGAAAATACTCGTAGTTGTGTTGGCTTTCGTACTCTCTTCTTCAGCTTCTTTCTTGATATCAATCTGTTGTCCGTCACAAATTTAGGGAGCTGTAGAAGCCCGGCTTATGCGCATCACGTGACAATGAACCTAAACATCTCCCAGCGAAAAGAAAGAATTCCCAGTTCAACTTCTTCGCGTCGTCGCATTCATGAAATAGATCCAGCTGATCCGTATTTTTGTTTAAATATACTTGCTGGATACACTTAAAGCAGCTGTACATTATACAGATAGTCAAAATGGCTGACGGCATTGACAGACAGGCGGATGGTAGGTCACTATTTCGAGGTTTACCTTGAACTGCGCAGCTAACTAGAGAATACTGCAGAGCGGATGGAGTTCTCAACCTCGAAGGAGGTCACTGTTGCGCCGACTTTCGACGATATGCACTTGAAGGAGAATCTCTTGCGCGGCATATATGCGTACGGATACGAGTCGCCTTCAGCCGTTCAGTCTCGTGCAATTGTTCAGATCTGCAAAGGACGAGATACTATCGCTCAAGCACAGTCCGGAACAGGAAAAACAGCTACTTTCTCCATCAGCATCCTCCAGGTCATTGATACTGTGCTTCGCGAATCACAGGGTATGTTTCGTTGTGTTCATGTGAGAGCAGGTTGATATGAAACTGACCGAGCGCAACACAGCCCTTGTCCTTTCTCCTACTCGAGAACTCGCAACTCAGATTCAATCCGTCGTTATGGCCCTGGGAGATTATATGAATGTGCAATGCCATGCGTGTATCGGTGGCACAAATGTTGGTGAAGATATTCGGAAGCTAGAACACGGTCAACACGTTGTCTCCGGAACACCAGGCCGAGTTGCTGACATGATTCGACGCCGACATCTACGTACTCGTAACATTAAGATGCTTGTTCTTGACGAAGCAGATGAACTACTCAACCGCGGATTCCGAGAGCAAATCTACGATATATACCGGTACCTGCCTCCAGCCACTCAAGTTGTGGTTGTTTCTGCCACTCTACCTTACGATGTTCTCGATATGACGACCAAGTTTATGACGGACCCAGTGCGCATTCTTGTCAAACGTGACGAGTTGACTCTTGAAGGTCTCAAGCAATACTTTATTGCCGTGGAAAAAGAGGAATGGAAATTTGACACACTCTGTGACCTCTATGATACCCTAACTATCACCCAGGCAGTCATTTTCTGCAACACAAGGCGTAAGGTCGACTGGTTAACTGATAAGATGAGAGAAGCCAATTTCACTGTGTCCAGTATGCATGGTGAAATGCCTCAAAAGGAGCGAGACAGCATTATGCAGGATTTCAGACAGGGCAACTCTCGAGTCCTGATCTCTACTGACGTTTGGGCTCGTGGTATTGACGTCCAGCAAGTCTCTCTTGTTATCAACTACGATCTACCAAGCAATCGTGAAAACTACATTCACAGAATTGGCCGAAGTGGTCGATTCGGTCGCAAGGGTGTAGCTATCAACTTTGTGACTAGTGAAGACGTCCGGATCCTGCGAGATATCGAACTTTACTACTCAACTCAGATTGATGAGATGCCTATGAATGGTACGTGACTCTTAAATTTAACTACAATAGCTATGACCTTGACCTCATTGCTAACTTGTTCAATTAGTCGCCGATCTCCTTGCTTAATTTACTTGTGGCACACTGGTCTGGCACTAATATGCCTGCCTGATAAAAGTATGGCTGTGAGTTTGAAGATGAATGTGATTTTAGGCCACCACACATAGCATGCCTTTCATGCACCACCGGCTTAAGCCGTGGTATAACACCAACATCGAGCATTTCGCCTCGTATGGCTAAATGAATATGTCTCGAAAGAGAACGCGTGGGGGAACAGGGGATATTGTTAAAACGAGTATGTTGCCATTCACAATCATTCATTAATTATTTGAACAACATTTAACTAATGCCAAATTCCTCCTCTGATGTTTAGAATTGTTTACTTATTATTAACGCAAAGTCTTCTGTTTGAGGCACCGATATGATGTACTTGAGCCTCTAGCTTTGATGTCTGTTAATGTCTCAATATTTTTCCGGTTAGGATAGACAATGAAAGGCGTGCCTTTGCTTATAGCCTAGGCAAGACACCACTATCCGATCTTAATGTTTTCATTAACTGTTTTTGACTAGTTCTACGGTACATTTATGGTAAGCTGTGTACTAACAACAGTGACTTCCGTATGAGCGGGTTTGGTTGACTCCAGGATAAAACCAACCCATTCCGTCCCATCTGTGCATTCTACGGCCCAAAGTCCCCGGTTTAGACCAACACAAGCAGAGTTCGTTAAATATATTATAAACACAAGATTGCACACTGGCGGGAATAGTAGACCGAGTGATTGATGGTATATATGATTTAACCAGTATCAAAAGGATGATTATTTTCTGCAAAAGACAAAACGAAAGAAATGTATTATGCAGGATACGCCAAAAATAGAGGGAAGACAACAAGCAAAGCCGAGAAGAGCCAAGATATATATGGGGGACAAGTCCCGGTTCCTAAAACTGACATGACATGGGCAAGAAAAGGGGAAGCCGTGCCATGGGAACAGAATAAAAGCGCTGCATTGCCAACCTCCGCGTTCGAGATACCTCCGACCACCAACCACCAACCGAACCGAACCATTTCCTACCCTGTTGAATGAATAGATGATTGGGTAGTAAAAAGGGAAACGAGAAAATAAGATATAAAGCAGATCAAACGAATGTGTCGTGTCGTAAAGTAGGATCCAAACGCATAATAACCCCGTGATAATGCAATTGATACTTGTAAGTGGTGTAGTAAACTTAGGTACGGCGAAAGTATAAGATGGATGGATGAGAATAATAGAGGGGAACCAATGAACTCCGTAAGCAATGGGTATGTGCAATCCGCGGTGTTCGGAGGCGATGGCGGATACAGGCTTTGTTGGGGAATTTGGATGATCGCATACTTTTGCTAAAGCATATTTAGCCAGAAGGCTTTAGGGAGACGGCACTTGAGGATGGATTGCTTCGAATTGATCTCCTGGATTTATTACCCGACGACGTTCCTAGGCAAGGCTGTTTCATCCATCTGGAAACTCAGTTAGTGATTGAATGAGGGATAATGGCATTATAAAGATGATATGCTTACACTCTGACTTTGCGGTCATCTCCAGCTGAAGCAAACATTCCAGGATCAGTTGGATTCCAGGCGACTGCATTGACGCAGCCAGAAACATGGCCTTCAAGGGATTCGACAAGTCGACTGTTCTCCTTATGCCAGATGTAGATTTTCGCATCTAGTAGTAACAGCTGTTAGGTATGGCTGGACTGCTTATGGGGAGATAGGGGGGTGTTAAAGACATACCTTCACTGCCGCTGACAACAAAATTCTCAGCAGCTCCGCCGAAAGCGCTACGAATAAGGAAATTACCTTGCTTCTGACCCAAAAATCGTCGAACCACCTCTGCTGTCTCGATATCAAGAAGCTGTACTTCGTTTTCGGACATGTTAACAAGCATAAACCGCGAGTCAGCGCTAACACTCAGACAAGTGAGATCTAGTTTGAGGAGAACGCTGTACTCTTCCTCGCGGGTTATAAAATTGTAAACATAGATTCTTTTTTGCAGAGAGATGGCAATCAGTCGCTTGCCGTCCGGAGTTATAGCACAGTCGCGGACCCGGTATTGACCAGGCCAGGTATATAGTAGGGATTTATGGGGGACACTCCAATGGCAGAGCTGAGACTGGCTGTCGAGAGAACCTGTGACGAAGGACTCTCCATCTGGAGCCCATGAAGCGGATGTGATCGGTGCATGGTGATGTTCAATTGTCAAAAGACAAGTTCCACTCTATGATTGTTCTTGGTAAGTATACTGAAGAAAAAAATACAGAGGCAGCGTTGACATACCGGAACATCCCACAATTTAGCCTTGAAGTCTTGAGAACAAGTGATCAACTTGGTATCGTCTGGGCTCCATGTAGCGTAAGCAACGGGCTCACTGTGCTCCGTCAACCGATGTATTATTTCAAAGGTTGTAGAGTCATAAATCAAAACAGTGCAGTCGCGGCTGGTTGTAGCAAGTTTGGTGCCATCGTGGGAGAATTCCAGGTACCAAACCTCATTGGTGTGGTGACTGAGCTCGAACGCCGTCCGGAGGGGGAAACCGCTTTTATCACATAAGTGATCCGAGTACAGGGAAGGCGACACTGCGGTGTTGTGATATAGACAGTTATTTATTTGGGTTTGCTTTACTTGGTCAAGAAGTACTGCTAATCGGTGGTCGGGTATCATGACGGAAGGAGAGATAGATCCTGAACATAAGGTTAGTAAAAGTGATAGTGAGATTAATGTTAGCTCAGGAATACCTACTGGTGAGTTCCGATAGGAGGTTCTGTCTAGATTCTGTAATGGTGTGTCCCCAACCGGCCCGTGCTCGCAGGTTCTCAGGCGTAGACATTAGTAGACTGGTCAATAGTTAGTGGCATGTCCAGCGCTGACGTATCATAATCTGGAGTGAATGCCTACCTCGAAAGAGCGTGAAGTTGTGTGATGTCATGGTTCAATGGCGTGAGTTCCTGGCGTAAGACGACCAAAGCCGTTGTCAAGTCCCTTCGATCGAGAAGCTCAAGGAACTTCTGTTGCCTTATGCAGAACAGCATCTCGTTTTCGTTGGCGCCACTAGCCAGGACGAGGCCATCTCGTTTGGCAAGCTGTTTACCAGTTACCCCGTCTAGTTCTCCGGCATCCCCATCGGGACAAAAGGAGCTTAGGAGTATCCTCTCAGCCTCATTCCAGTCTCCCCCCAATATGGCAGTCCTAAAAGCAGCTACACCGGGACTTTCGAGCTCATACTTGCTCTCAGCACTCAAAGTAGAAGCAGCCTGGTGGTAACCCAACTCGTACAGACTCTGTATCAGTATCCTCGTAACTTCCTCCCGGTCGTGGCCGCGGTATGTAGGGGATAGGGGAGATGATCCATTCGACATGGTGGCATCCTGATATTCGGCTTGTGACTGTTTTCCAGCAGGGGAATTTGGAAGGGGCGGCTTTTGAAGGGAGCTTGAGGCGCCATTGGAGACGGAGGCAAAACCGTTCAAATTGGAAGGAGAAGGTCCACCGTCTGGTCTCATAACGTCAACAGTATACCTTCTGCGTTTAGTAGGCGGGTGTTCGTTTTCCGTCGGAGGTCCAGTAGTAGTAGCAGGTGCTGCAGCAGTCTCCGTGCTATGTTCAGCAGCTCCTTCAGCAGTATTCACCTGGGTGGGCTCGAAGCTCTCAGGCTGGTCAGAGGGCAGGTCTTGACGGCGGCGTCGGCGATTACGGCGTGGCCCGGCCTCAGAGGGCGTGTTCGCGGGCTGCTGGGAGGGTTGATCAGGTCTTCCCAGAGCAGGTAGGCTATGCTGAACGGATTCTGTCCTTTGGATGCTGCTATCCCTAGGGATTAGCAACAGGTCAGAATGAACAGAATAGTATTCTCTCTCTCTCTCTCTTTTATTCTTTTTTTTTTTTTTTTTTTTTTTTATAAAAAATCTTTTATAGTCTTCTCTTTCTTTTGGTCAGGTTGGAACTCACAGGGAGCTCGATGATGGATCAGAGAGGCCGGGTCCAGCTGAGACAGGTGTATGTGAGGGAGGTTCGTCTGCCAGGTCGAAGACAGCGTCTGAGCCTTTCAGTCTGGTTCAATAAAGAACCAGCTGAGGTAGGCCGTTTTGTCGAGGAGGGAGCTGGAGGGAGGGATATAGATGGCCGTGGAGCAAGGTCCAGGACAGTGGCCAGCGGAAGTAGTTGGTAATGGTTCGAGGAGCTACAAGAAGTATCTGATAAGGGAAATAGAGGTTAGACCACACAATTTAGCCGTCTGGCTACCTGTAGCGGGCTGAAAGAGTGAGAGATGAGAACGTACGTACGGGCAGCTGTTGGATATCAAGATTGCACTGCGGTGAATAGATATCCTAGCGAGGCGGACAAAGGACTGTGACAGGCAGCTGGTGAGAGAGCACGAGAGAGCGTAACAAGAGGGGGTTCCGCACTGTCTATTGGTCTTCTGCTACCTGATAGTGGTGGTGAAGAAGAAAAAGCTGGCTGGAAAGGGGAGCGAGGTTGATATTTAAGAAGATGAAGACGAAGACAAATGGAGGGAGAGAGACGAAGATGCGTATTACGGTCAAGCTTTCATCGAGCGAGAAGATCAGCCATAACGCCCTATTTGTTTACTGCCAGTACTCTACCCTGGCTCTACTGTTACTGATATCTACCAGCTGAGTATACTGTGTCCAATTTCTCGTGTACTCTGGGTCTCTCCTGTTTACTGTTTGTTGTGTCTGCTGCTTGCTTGCTGACCATGTTTTGACTGCCAGTTGCAACTTCTACCGCGAAAATCGCCTCCATCGATGGCCTCAAAAGCAAGAGAAGAAGAAGAAGCCATGATAAAAGTCCTCAGTGTAACTAGTCGCACTGTTGAGACTGTTGAACGGTTGACAGCTCGATGCCCAAGGTGAATGCAGAGCAACAGGAGAAGAACCGTCCGGCCCAGCAGCAAGATCGCTGCCAGCCAGCGTCTCCGTCATGCGTAAGGTACCTCCACATATACACGAGCTCTGTTTTGCAGCAGGTAACTCGGCGGTCTCTGCTTATCCTGCATGGGCTCTTGTCTTGGACTTTGGGTACCTCCTTCACGGCTTCTCGGCAGAAAGTGACCTGTCTTTGCCTTTTTGGCCTCTTGCCAGGCCCCTTCATTCCATGCTAGTGACGCCAGCACATGTGATTGGCGAAGTGCCGCCTATCAGAGGGCGAGGGTTGGGCTGCTTGTTCAATCGGGAAGACGCAGAAGTGCTGGATGCTGCAGCAGCTTGGATGCGTCGATGTATCTGGCGTGGCAGGGCTTGACGGGCCCGGCAGGGACAGGATACGCTGCAGAGGAAGAGATATATATCTCTTCTCTTGGGCTCCCGATATTCCACCTCCCTCTGTCGACTTGGGGATGTCTTCTCCCAGCTCCCGACCTCTCCTCGCCTCCCACCGGTCACAGCTAGTCCGATTGCCCAGGGCCATCAGATGACCCTCATCCGGCCGGGTGAGTTAACTCATGAGTTACCTACCAGTAGTGCAAGTCCCAGAGCTTTGTATGAGATGGATCTGGCTAGCGAAGCTGGAGCCGAAGAAGCTGGCGGGCTCCTCGACTGTCTTACAGCTACAGACGAGAAAGAGAGAGAGCAAACGACGGAGGCAGCCCGTTGAACATGAGATCTCAAATATCAGGGCACCTTGGCAGCCGAGATGGCTATCTACATGCTAGCTCACGCCGTAGTTGCTGGATGAGGCGGACAGGCGGACAAAGTAGAACACCTGTAAAATAGACACCAAGCGGTAAAAGGAGAGCAAGCTGTATGATACTGGGACTCGGACGACCGTCTTTCAGGCCGCGACCGTCTCTGCTCGGCCTCGTCTCTGCTGCGTCGCCGTCTGCTGCTGCTGGTGACAGTGAGAGTGACGGCGATGGTGATGCCTGCAGCGCCCTAAAGCAGCACCAAGATCCAACTCCACCACGCAGCTTCAACTTCGTCTTCACCAACAACAACAACGTCAACACCGTTCACAACACCACCACCAGCAACAACAACTGCAGCTACAGCAAGGACGACGAGAGAGAGGAACTCGACGAGAGCGAGGACAGCCCCAGCGTCGACGGCTCCGAGACAGAGAGCACATCGTCATCGTCTACTGCACCGATCGAAACGAGGTCGCCGCCAGCCATGGCACCCAAGGACTCGAAGGAGGAGGCCGGGGATGAGCAGAAGGGAGTCGTCTTCTCCATCTCCGGCCCTGTCATTGTGGCAGAGAACATGATAGGATGTGCCATGTACGAGATGGTCGGTTGCTCCTTTGACCCTACCCTTTTGGCAGGTTGTTTACAGAATGGGATGCTGATTATCATGATGCCTGCAGTGCCATGTTGGAGTCGATAAAGTCGTTGGAGAAGTCATTCGAATCTCAGGAGACCAGGCCACCATCCAGGTCTACGAGGAGACAGGTACGCAGTCCCCAGCAGCAATTGGCTCGTCTGAGTTGCCTGGAGTAGCCCCCCTTTTGGACCACTACTGATTGCAACTGCTACAGCCGGTGTCACTGTCGGTGATCCCGTTATCAGAACCGGCAAGCCGCTGTCCGTCGAGCTGGGCCCCGGTCTGATGGAAACCATTTATGACGGAATTCAGCGTCCTCTCAAGTCTATCTCTGAGGTCTCGAACAGCATCTACATCCCCCGTGGCGTGGCCCTGCCCGCTCTTGACCGCAAGAAGAAATGGGCCTTCAAGCCCGCCGGTCTCAAGGTCGGTGACCACATCACTGGTGGTGATGTCTGGGGTACCGTGTTTGAGAACAGTCTGCTTTACGACCACAAGATTCTCCTACCTCCAAGAGCCCGAGGAACCATCACACGTATCTCTGGTCCCGGTGACTTTACCGTCGAGGAGAAGCTGCTAGAAGTCGAGTTCAATGGCAAGAAGACAGAGTACAGCATGATGCACGTATGGCCTGTTCGTGTTCCTCGCCCAGTCAACGAGAAGCTCGCATCCGATTCTCCCTTCATCGTCGGCCAGCGAGTCTTGGATTCTCTGTTCCCTGGTGTCCAGGGCGGTACTATCTGTATCCCCGGTGCTTTCGGCTGTGGAAAGACTGTCATCAGTCAGAGTGTGTCCAAGTTCTCCAACAGTGATATTATTGTCTACGTCGGCTGTGGTGAGCGCGGTAACGAGATGGCGGAAGTCTTGATGGATTTCCCAGAGGTGAGCCAGTTTCCCCGTTACTACTTGTTACCTCCAAGCTTGCAACCAACTGCTAACGTTTACAGCTTACAATCACCATTGAAGGACGCAAAGAGCCCATCATGAAGCGTACCTGCTTGATTGCCAACACCTCCAACATGCCTGTCGCTGCCCGTGAGGCTCATCTACACGGTATCACATCGCAGAGTACTCCGAGACAAGGCAAGAATGTTGCTATGATGGCAGACTCGAGTTCCCGTTGGGCTGAGGCTCTTCGTGAAATTTCCGGTCGTCTAGGAGAGATGCCTGCTGATCAGGGTTTCCCCGCCTATCTCGGTGCCAAACTTGCTTCTTTCTACGAGCGTGCGGGTCAGACCACTGCCTTGGGTAGCCCTGAGCGAAAAGGAAGTGTCAGCATTGTCGGTGCTGTTAGTCCACCCGGTGGTGACTTTGCCGATCCAGTCACCACAAGTACACTCAACATCGTCCAAGTCTTCTGGGGTCTCGACAAGAAGCTCGCCCAAAGAAAACACTTCCCGTCCATCAACACTTCCATATCCTACAGTAAATACACAAGCATTCTCGACAAGTACTACGCCAAGGAGCACCCTGAGTTCCCCCGACTACGTGACAAGATCAAGGAGCTGCTCAGTAATTCTGAAGAACTGGATCAGGTTGTGCAGCTCGTTGGGAAGTCTGCTCTCGGAGATGCCGACAAGATCACGCTGGACGTGGCCACCCTGCTCAAGGAAGATTTCCTGCAGCAGAACGGCTACTCTGACTACGACCAGTTCTGCCCCTTATGGAAGACGGAGTACATGATGAAGGCCTTCGTTTCCTACTACGAGGAGAGTCAGAAGGCCATTGCCCAGGGTCAGAGCTGGGCTAAGGTCCGAGAAGCCACCAGTGCCATCCAGGCTGCCCTTCGAAACATGAAATTCGAGGTCCCTGATGACGAGAAAGAAGTCACAGCTAAGGTACGTCCCGATCTTCCTCCTAACCTGTAATGTATATATGCATACAGTTACCTTACTAACCTGTCTATAGTACGATAAAATCCTCCAAGACATGTCTGAAAAGTTCGCCTCGGTGTCGGATGAGTAAATTTTTCGGTTTTGATCCCTCTCTTCCCTTTTTCTGTTCGTACAAATGCAAAATGTCAATTCACCGAATAAACTGGCCTACAGGACCAAGGTGAACCAGCAAAGCCATTTATCATAATAATCTACCCTGCCCGTCAGGTCAATAGACTGTTGAGTTTCTGTGCCATCTCGCGAGGTCAGCATTTGATATAGTTATACATACGTAGACCCAGTATAGGCAGCAGCATTATCAATATCACACTACAAAACCCCAACTTTTCCACCACCTTTTCCTCGCAGTCGATTCACTATATATTTGCTTGTTCGAATACATCTGTCCGCCCTTAACTCTGGTCACCATCGCCCTCCTCGTCTATCAATATCAAGTCAATAAATAGCAAGCTGCGTGTGACGAGGGTCAGCTGCACGTGAACAGGCCCAAAACTCTCCAAAACATCGAATTTGTTCAAAACGCCCAAAATACACCAGACAGAAGATATAGCTAGCCCAACCACAACCAACCCTTACCTAACCACGGAATTTTCACCAAGACAGCTTCTTCAGCCCTGTTCTTCCTCTTCGCTGGTGCCTCCTTCAGCTCGACTGTACATTATATCGCCAGACCATGGCGGCCCAAGCTGGCTATTCGTAAGTACTCTCTTCATCTCCTGCCCAAGCACACCAAACCCACGATCGGCCATTTCGCTAATGCAGGGAACTTGCCTGGGTGTAGGATAAGCGTCAACGACCCTAGTTTGATTTCTCTCGTGAATAAATTGCAAGATGTCTTCACGACCGTTGGAGTATGTTGTTCTCCTACCCCTGGAGTGGGCACCGACCGTACCCATACCGCCTAGACAGAACGCAGACCCTGACCAGCGGCGCACATTATACAGGCACAAAACCCGATAGATCTACCACAGATAGTCGTCGTTGGATCGCAATCCAGCGGAAAGAGTTCTGTCTTAGAGAACATAGTGGGAAGAGACTTGTGAGTTGGATAAGGCCTCCCCTCCCTCCACCTCCTTTCCGGGAGCAGGAGTTTTTGCCTCCCCTACAGAGTATACTAGGAGGACGTTTAATAGTTAACACGGCGAATTTACCAGTTTACCACGAGGGTCTGGCATTGTCACTCGACGACCGCTGGTCCTCCAGCTTATCAACAAGCCCCGCTCCGAAAAACAATCGAACGGTGTCAAGGAGGAAGACAAGCTAGATACTACCGACAGCGAGGCAAACATTGACGAATATGGAGAGTTTCTTCACATTCCAGGCCAGAAGTTCCATGACTTCAACAAGATCAGAGAAGAAATCGTCCGTGAGACAGATGCGAAGACCGGCCGCAATGCCGGAATCTCCCCCGCGCCTATCAACCTGCGAATCTATTCTCCCAACGTCCTCACTCTTACACTGGTCGATCTACCCGGTTTGACCAAGGTGCCTGTCGGAGACCAGCCAAAAGACATCGAGAAGCAGATAAGAGAGATGGTGCTGAAGCAAATCAGCAAGTCGAATGCGATTATTCTTGCCGTTACGGCTGCGAACCAGGATCTGGCCAACTCCGATGGTTTGAAACTTGCTCGAGAAGTTGATCCAGAGGGACAGAGGACGATCGGTGTTTTGACCAAGGTCGACCTTATGGATGCTGGAACTGATGTGGTGGATATTCTTGCTGGCAGAGTTATTCCACTTCGCCTTGGATATGTTCCGGTTGTCAACAGAGGACAGCGGGATATTGAGAATAAGCGAACAATCTCGTATGCTCTTGAGCATGAGAAGAACTTCTTTGAAAACCATGCCACATATTCTTCTAAATCTGCCTACTGCGGAACACCATACCTTGCAAGAAAGCTCAATGTGGTATGTGTCACCAGGAATCTTTAACCTGGGTATAGCTTACGACTAACTGTTCACATTTAGATACTTATGATGCACATTAAACAAACCCTTCCCGATATCAAAGCCCGCATTGCATCATCGCTGCAGAAGTACACCGCCGAATTGAACCAACTTGGTGACTCGATGCTTGGAAACAGTGCCAATATCATTCTTAACATTATCACAGAATTCAGTAACGAGTACCGAACCATCCTGGATGGTAACAACCAGGAACTTTCATCTGTCGAGCTTTCCGGTGGTGCGCGTGTTAGCTTCGTTTTCCACGAACTATACTCCAACGGTGTCAAGGCCATCGATCCCTTCGATATGGTGAAAGACATGGATATCAGAACAATGCTATATAACTCGTCTGGTCCTTCACCTGCCTTGTTCGTCGGAACAGGTGCATTCGAGTCTATCGTTAAGCAACAAATTAAGAGACTCGAAGAGCCTAGCTTGAAATGTGTTTCTCTTGTCTATGACGAACTTGTCAGAATCCTTGCTCAGCTCCTGAACAAGCAGCCTTTCAGAAGGTATCCACAGCTAAAGGAAAGATTCCATGGAGTCGTAATATCGTTTTTCAAGAAAGTCATGGAGCCAACGAATAAGCTTGTCAAGGACCTCGTTGCCATGGAAGCTTGCTATATCAACACTGGCCATCCTGATTTTATCACTGGACACAGGGTAAGATTTTCTCGCGATATCCCTGTCCAATGACATACTAACAATGGACGCATAGGCTATGGCAATCATTAATGAGCGACAAAATGCATCGAAGCCAACGCAGGTTGATCCAAAGACTGGAAAACCCCTACCACCCTCGGCCACTATGCCACAGCGATCTGCTAGTCCCAGTCTCGACCTTGGTGATTCCAGCCCAGGCTTCTTCGGCAGTTTCTTTTCGTCGAAGAACAGCAAGAAGAAGATGGCTGCTATGGAGGCCCCTCCACCAATCTTGAAGGCTTCTGGAACCCTATCAGAGCGAGAAAACACCGAGGTTGAGGTTATAAGTATGTCTGACCCGTAAATCTCCTCAATTAGCCGCCCACTAACCTCTACCTACAGAACTCCTAATCAACTCGTACTACAACATTGTCAAGCGAACCATGATTGACATGGTGCCTAAAGCCATCATGCTCACCCTTGTCCAGTAGGTTCCAGAGCTCTTTTAGACCTAAATATCGCTACTAACGCAAATCATCAGGTTCACCAAGGACGAAATGCAAAGAGAGCTTCTAGGGAATCTCTACAGGGCAGAAGAACCGGATGACCTCCTCCGCGAAAGTGAATTCACCGTCCGTCGCCGCAAGGAATGCCAGAGAATGGTAGAAAGTCTCACCAAGGCCAGCGAAATTGTCGCCCAGGTCCAATAGAACACCCACCATGAAACGTCAGTATAGGAGCCTCAAGTTCGTTTCCTGACCAAACTCAAAATAAACAGACGTATTAGCCCCGGTGAATGGAACAAATCGCCAAATGAGAAAATCACTACTGAAAATACAACTTAGCGCCACATTCGATCTTGATAGAAATACGGTTTGGGTGTGTTGCCATGCAGTCCTTATTCCTTACATATTTACTCACCCAGAGTGATTGATATCCCCTTTCCAATATGTTTGTTCTATATCATACACTATTAATCATCTTTCTCAACGTTGTTTCATATTTTTCCTCGTCTCTGTCGGTCTTATGTGCTCATGATACATACTTGTTTGCTCCTGGCGAATTTTACTAGGTTATTATCTTTCTTAATTGTAACCCCGTCATCAACATGTTATCTTCTTGGCCTTCTCCTGGTCGGTTCTCTTTTCCAGTTACCGACGCGTCCGAATTAGCTATATTACGTCATCAGAAATCCGCGGATCAATATAAATACGACAAAGTTACGCTAGGTTGGACGAGTAAACTTTCTGATATAAAACCCAAATTAATACCAAAGTTCATGGAAAAGGGAACAGTATCAGATTGGATTGGTATACGATATTGACTACCCTCGTAATAGATTTATCATGAAAACAAACACCATTTTATGATGAGAGTGTCATGCACCTTTTTTTCAGGAAGACCCGAATCTAAAGACTTAAAATCCCCCATGAGCATAAGACGTGTTTGTACCAACCAGCGGACAATCAATATCGGAGAACAAAGGAGGCAGGTAGGTTGCTCGGGACCCATTCCTAAATGCCAATCCTATCAAGGTTTTTCCTTTAAATATAGTTAGTACTGCACTACCTATTGTGTGGAACTCATCTACACACCCCTTCCATCGGTCCCGTATCTGGGCCATCCGAGTTTTGATAATCCCTTACGAGGATCTGCTGCAAAGGCAGCAAAGGCATGCATCATATACGCTGAGAATTTGGCTTCGGTATCAGTGTTTGCAGTTCTGTTGCTGACATACTCTGCTGTGCCAAATAATTGAGCCACATCAGAGCCATGGTATGATCCACTCCCCGGGAATAGAATCGAATTAGGCCATTCGCCAAAATATATATATCGCCAGGTTGGGACACTCATTGCTGCGCGGTAACTTGCTTCTCTTGCATTTGGGCATGTGATTCCAGCCGAGTTAAACAAGTGCCACGCCTTTTCACTTATCGTGGTGATGTTCTGAGCATACGCGGAGATTTTGTAGTATCCAGCCTCATAAACGCCGTTTCCAATTAGGTATGGCTAGGCGTCGGAGCCATATCAGATTTAGCATTCAATAAAGCATGCGATATCTAGTAGTTAAACTTACTATTCTAGCAAACGTTCCCTTGGCTGCATGCTCTTCATAGTTCGAAAAGACGAGCTTCTCATCAACAGTTGGGTGGAACACCGGCTGTGGTAGTAGACTAGTGGGCTCGGGTGGCACCTCGGCTACTGCGGCTAGGGCATCCGTAGCAGACTTTGATCTTACGCAGGGCAGTGTATCACCGGAACTACCACAGCCAAGCACTTCTGATAAGATTTACCAGTATTTCTCAGACTGTTCTGGGGTATTGGGCAAAAAGCTTATAGCAGTGCCAGACATGGGTACGACAGCATGGACAATAGGGTCCTCAATGTGGTTATAAGTATAGTAATCAGCCGTAACTCCGCCGGCAGAATGGCCGATTAGAGTAATACGGCCAGGATCACCCCCGAAAGCCGCAATGTTATCTCGAACCCACTCTATTGCCATACGCTGATCAAGTAATGCAATGTTCCGAGGCGAGCCAGGCGCACCGGGGTAACCAAAAACATTGAGGCGGTAGCTGTTTACCAGTTAGATTCGGTTTCAAACGGCGAACTGCATACCACCTAACGTAATCCACCATTCGATGACCACTACGACTCAATAACCACACAACAAAAAATTCGAACTCCCACCACCCACCACCTTTAAATAGTAATAAAATGGTTAACGAAGTAGTAATTACAGAAGTAATTACTAATTTAAAATTATAAGAGTATCCTAATATTACTATAACTACTAAAAAGTAG